CAGACATCATTTTTTAATTTAGGACATTTTCATATGTGACTTTGTTTCTGCACCGCCTCTCTTGCTGATGTGGCTTTTGCAGGTTTGATGTGCAAATGCATGACAACAGACATATAAGAGATTGAAGAAATGTAAAAGTTGAAGTGTGCAAAAAAAGCAATCTGCAAACGTTTAAGAACCATTAATATAAAAGGACTTGTCTTTCTACCAGAAAAGACGTGAGAGGAAGAACAATTAATGTGCAAGAATTTTGAACATTCATTTGAGCCCTAGTAAGATTAAGTAGTTGTGAGGTTATTGGAAATATGAAATCTAAAAAAAAAACGTTCCGTATTTTAAAAAAACCTAAATGTGATTTTTGAAAAATGGTGAAGATGTAAAAAAGTGAGTAAACATAGTAGCCCAGTGTCTTTTGACACATTTAAAGCCTAAAACAATGAATTTATTGATGAAAACTGCAAGCTTTTAAAGATTTTATATGTTTTTGATGATTTAAAGTCATCATTCGGGAGGGACTCGGAGTAGAACCGCTGCTCCTCCAAATCGAAAGGAGTCAGTTGAGGTGGTTTGGGCATCTGGTCAGAATGCCTCCTGGATGTTTCGGGCATGTCCTGCTGGCAGGAGGACCCCGGGTCGAACCAGGACACGTTGGAGAGGTTACATCTCTGATCTGGTCCGGGAACGCCTTGGTGTCCTGCTGGAGGAGCTGGTGGAGGTGGCCGGGGAGAGGACGGTCTGGAGCTCCCTAGTTGGGATGCTGCCCCCGCGACCCGGACCCGGATAAGCGGAGGAAGATGACAACGATGACGACGACGAAAATTTAAAATAATTTAAAAGTCATAAATACTACAAATTTCAGCTGGATTGTTCTGAGAGAGTAGAAGGATTTTGTATTTGAATTGTTGAAACTGAGCAAAAAGTATGGAAAGTTCAAGAATAGTGAAAAAATAACAAATTTGAAAGAGAAATAAGTAAATATTGAGTCATCATTTAATATCTAGCAACATTATAACTTATCAGAAAACAAAGTTGGCTTTACTTTTTATGATTTCTCTGACCAGTAAAAAATACTCCAATTTGGAAAAGTACTTTAATTATAATGCTTTACAACAAAAATTTAGATTATAACAACTTTTGTAAAATTGTATTTTTATTTTATTGCAGAGTGATGAGACTTAAGTATGAAGACAGATTTTTTTCATGCATGCAAATGTGCTCTCTGTGCAGGAATCGTGACTGAAAATCTGAGCCAGATTGCAAACTGGGAAAAGGAAACGGATCAATCTGGGAACAGTCATAAGTGGATGAAAGCCATTTAAATGTTTATTAAACTACCAGTTGAATGTACAGTATCACTATCGCAAACTCAAATCCAGTTTAGCGTATTTGTGCACTATGTAAAATGTGGCTGTATGTATGACTGCAGAGAAACAGTTGTTTTTCATCTGAAACTTAAGATAATCTTGTCAAGGGTGTAAGGTCATTTATGGTCAATCCCCAGAGCACAGATGTACCTTGAAATGTAGAGCAAAGTTAAGAGGGGTGATACCAGGACAGAAATTAGGCCTGTCAAGACACAAACTCTCTGCTGCACAGCTCCCGAGTCCTTTTGCTCCTAAAGAGTCGCATCACACTTACGGATTACAAACCATTAACTCGTTAGATTTCCTTGAACGAACCCAGTGGATGATAATGTTGCTCTGAGGTCTTCCCAGTTTATGGAGCTCCTTATCCCATAGAACAGCAGAAGCTCAGGCACTTAACAGATACCCCATTTTACCCGCCTGTCTTTGTCTTGTCATATCTCATCTGAAAAGAAGATGCTGACTCAAATTCGGATGTCTCACCATGGACTGATCCACTGAGAGTATAATTTATAACATGTCCAAACACCTCTTATCTGTTTTAAAAAGCATTTTGTTTTACTTCAACAACTTGCTGTTTATGCACTGAAACCTTAAGCTATAAAGGTGAAAGAAAATGTTACACAAAATTAGATAATGGTAACAGATTGTGTTGCATTATTGTAAATGTATTCCTTACATATTTAGTTGATCTTTAATTGATCTTTTTTGTTATCTTACAGCACATTTACTTTTCAGATTTCAGAAGAATCATTGTGTTTCACTCACCTTTCCTTACGAGTCAAAGTGGCTAAAGTGGTCCTAGAAATTAAAACCACATTTACCTTTTGGTGGTCAAATGTAGCATACAGAAAAGGTCTGTGCCATCTCTGGCCTGCTTTCCTATGTAAATGAGTAATGTTGTAATGACCACGGAGAAACGGTTTGCTCTCACGTACCCAACACCACCTTACACTTTCATGTCCCAATCCACTTCAGCATCAGCAATGTGTCAATGTTATCACGGCAGTAATGCTAAACACAGATCAATAACCCCAGTTACTGCTCACCCTAGCCCGAGTTACTGCTAACACTAGCTTTAGCTACTGCTAACGCCACCTGAGCTAATGGTTGTGGCCCAGTGGCATGTCCAGGCCTTTTAAAAAGAGGCGGGGGGAACCAACCAATGCAAATTCCTTTTTGCATTCTAGTGAATTTATGTGTTCCATGTTGAGCCACGACTTTATGGAATTTTCTCCAAACTCAAGGATGCTAGTACATTTTTGTGTACTAGACAAGTATGTTTTCCTTCGGTCGGCTTAGCCGCGGATTCCCCTGTGACCTTCCCTACAGATGGCAGAGCTTAAATTTTTGTGATGATTTAGTCAAATGCCAAATGTGGAACAATTGAAGAGATGTTAAATTGAAGAGATGCTTGGACAAATATTTTTATGTTGTTACTGAAATATAAACAACTTTGGTAACACATTTTTTGTATTAGTTATATTTCGAAATTAAGTTAAAAGTTGTTGTATCTAAAGTATTTGTAACTGAATAGTTGTTATAATATTTTTATGATAACTCAGCTAAATTTGACAAACTTATAAGTATGATTGTAGCATTTTCTTACAAAGGTGCCTCTCCAACAACAGCTGGCCCAGCCTGGCCCCCCACTAAAACCTCCCCTGCACCTTGACAACCAACTGGACATCTCTAGAAGTATTTCTTCTTTAAGTGGTGAAGAATGTGGTATTTATTGCATTGACTTTTTTGAATGCTTGTGTCAATGTTAGTGTCACTGAGAGTTTCTCTGGAGCTTCTTAAGCAGATGGAAAAGGAAATGGAGCTGCAGAAGTTACAGTACCTTTCCAGTACAATGTTGTGTATACCACTGCACAAAATGGTGTTTAATGTATGCAGTTTCTTATAATTTTCTGTGATGTTTCCTATCATGCATTTTGTTTCTTATTGTGTAAATCTTGTTGCATTTTCTGTGTTTCAAGTTGTTTAATTCAGTCTCTAAGAAACAAACTCAGCAGTTATAGACAAGAGATTTTGGATTCTTTAGAGACTAGACTTCTGTTCAACAGCTCACCGAGCAGCAACACAAACTTTCATGTAATATTCAACATTTTGGAGACTTCCTGTCCTCACGGGCCCCTTGTAACACAGTTAGACGCCTCAAGGCATGTACTTTTTTTTAGCTATGACAAGATAAAAATCAGAGTGTTGAAGCTGCAGAGTGGAGAAGTCACTTAAGGCCCTCGTTCTGATACCAGAAGTTCTGAAAGGAGAAAGGTGGTGTTTAAAAACACCTTTTGCTGCCTGCCTCTGATGGGATTTTTGACACTTATGGATCCCAGGAAATGCACTGGAGTGGCAAGCTTGTCAAGAAAAGGTAAATTATTGATCAGCCAGTCTAATGCAATAAAGCAAACAGAAAGCACCAGCTCTGAACTTTTGAAATAATGTTCTGGGAAACTTTTGTTGAACTGGAATTTTAAGCTTTTGCTCTAAAACAATACATTTTATTTATTATTAGACTAAACGTTTTGCAGGGGTGTGTAATATGGGGGATGTAATTTGTACTTATTGTAATTCAAATCAGTATGTCATCTCTATGTTTACTCGGCTTTGGTGTGTATTTTAAAGATAGAACACTGAAAACCCATTTTTTAAATCTTATTTCTGTTTATAATCGGTCACTCTGAGTTTTTCATGCAGGCTGAGGATGAAAATAGTCTCCTTCACCTGTCTCCTGCAGCAGCTTCTGATAAAGTGAAAATATACAGTGAAACGCTATAGGATCTGAAAAGCCTGACAGATCTGTCCCTTAACATTCAAGAACTCACCCATCTTGACTCATGATGGGAAAGGCTGTCATTGGTTTAGCATCCAGGAGACAGCAGAAAGCATCTTGGCTAGTAGAAGCTAACCAATAGCATTAGCAACTCCACCAGCCAGCAGAACTCCTTCAGGCTTGTGTTATTTGTGAAGATAAAACATCAAAGTTGGAAAGTAAACTGAGACAGTCGTGTTGCTATTAGCCAGTCAGAGGTCAGATGTCCAATTATCAGGAAATAAGACTCCAAATCCTGCCGTCTGAAGCTCAACTCTGATGTGGCTCACTTTCCACTTCCCGAAATTGGTGCACTGCAGCTTTGTTTCCCCAGAGTACAACTTACAAGGCATTCATTCCTACTAGAGAGCACTACAAATGTATTGATTAAATGAGTGATCTACACCTTTAAGTCATTCTACAAGAAACCAACTAATTAAATCTGAAAATAAAGGTTTTTACGGTTTACACATGTTACAGTTTAACTTGATGCAAAAAGACCCTGTCTGTGTGAATGACCTCAGAGCTGTAAGAAGAACTGTGTCTACGCATGACCGAGATATATATCTGCATGATTGGATTCTAGCTAGGGCTAGTTGGTAGCCCTCTTGCCTGGCAGCAAGAAGGTTGCAAGTTTGAATCTTGGCTGTGGCTTTCCTCTGCTGACATAGAATTTTCTACCATGCCTGTGTGGGATGTCTCCTACTCTGGTATTCTCCCACTGACCAAAATCGTGCATGTAAGGTTGGTTGGAGACTCTTAATTTATGTGTTAGAAACTGATGGTTGTGGTGCTGTGACAGACTTGGCAATCTGTCCAGTGTGTCACCTGTTTCTCACCAGCACTGGAGATAAGAACCAGCTTCTGGCAACCCGTCTAAGGGAAAAGCAGTTAAGGTGATGGATGGTGATCCTTGAGGACTAATGGATCAGTTCTGTTTGTGACTCATTTCAAGTTACAATCATGTAATCTCCTTTCATGGAAGAAAAAAAACTATATTCGGCCTGGGAAAACAGTAAAACAGAATATGTTAGAGCAGTGAAATTGTTTTCCAATGAACTGCTAATCAAGTAAAAATGTGTTTATATTTTCATAAATCTGTGCATCATATTGAGCTTATTTGATCTAGAACGTTGCACTGTTGGGTTGTCAGTAAAAATGCTCCAATCAGCCATAGATCTAACGCAGTCATTCACTGGTCCATGCTGCCCTTCACCAGGACAAAGTGTTACGTCTGAGACCCTGAAACCGCGCCCACTGTTGACGCGCTGTCCTGGAACTTTGTCTCACAAGTTCAAAGGACAGATTCTGGCGCTTCTTGGCGCGCCTTTACGCACGAACTCCAGGGCGCAGTGGGGTAGATCTGTCAGTGGACCGTTTACTTTTGAAGATGTCGAATTTTGTTTTTACTTTATGTATTTTTTTTTAATTCAGACGCCTATAAACAGAACTAAGTGAAATTTTATCCAAATGCGCCGATGTGATATCGTGTCTCCACAGCGCTCATGGCTTACCATCCTTTCCAAGTTCATAAATCAGACAAATTTTCATTACCAGCCTTCAACTCCAGCGCCCAGCCTTCGCTTCTCCATGTTCCGATTCTTCCGGAGGTCTCCGCGGAGCAGTCTGCCTGTGACGCACGGCTGCGCGCAGCTCTGGAGCTCCGGAACCGGCCAGCGAACCCGCCGCGCCTGAAGAGTCTGCAGCCCGAAGAGTGGGTGGATGATGAACCGAAAGTTACTCTGGAGTTTAAAGATTTATGGAGTGAATTTCACAAAATGGGAACTGAGATGGTTATCACTAAAACTGGGAGGTAAGCAGAGCAAATAAATAGCTCACAAAGAAATCGTGCATGTGCAACTTCATTTAAAAGTGCAGTTCTAGGTGTTAAATTTCATATAGTTTTTCAGTAGCTGGTTTCTGACAGATAAATTAAATAATTGGCACTGAAATTGGTTAAATGTGCCCCCAAATCTGCAGGAGGCTCACACTTATTTTAAATAATTGGTATTTGCCTTCCAGTTTTGTCCTCCTTGACTCTCTTTCAGGAGGATGTTTCCTCCCTTTAAAGTGCGTGTGACCGGGCTGGATGAGCGAGCAAAGTACATCCTGCTGATGGACATTGTGACGGTTGATGACTGCCGCTACAAGTTTCACAACTCTCGCTGGACGGTGGCTGGAAAAGCTGACCCAGAGATGCCGAAGCGTATGTACATCCACCCAGACAGTCCATCCAAAGGAGAAGAGTGGATGAGCAAGCCTGTGGCATTTCATAAACTCAAACTGACCAATAACATTTCAGACAAACATGGATTTGTAAGTCCTTCTTTGTGCTCGTAACTTTATTTAGCTGATTTGTTTTCCATAACTTGGAAGCTAAAATAGAAGCTTAAGCTCTAAAACCACCTTTACCTATCTTTGCAGACTATTTTAAACTCCATGCATAAATACCAACCCAGATTCCACATTGTGAGAGCCAATGACATCATGAAGCTTCCATACAGCACCTTCCGGACTTACGTTTTCCAAGAGACAGAGTTCATCGCTGTCACTGCCTATCAGAATGAAAAGGTGAAATGAATGTCCTCCCACTCGTCCGTCACTGCACAAGGTTGCATTTCCGTTACTGACTAGAACATTTTCTCTCTGTTTTCATGAAGATAACACAGCTAAAAATTGACAACAATCCCTTTGCCAAAGGATTTAGAGACACTGGAAATGGGAGACGAGAAAAGAGGTATTCTTGAAGCCTTAAACATCTTGCACGAGTGCATGGGTTCATGTTTAACTCAATGTAGTGTTTAAACCACAGGAGTAAACAGGACCTGAGTGAAGGAGACCAGGACTGTTGTGATTCTGATGACTCATCTGAACAGCCAGGCACCAACGAGTCTTTTTATTCTCCTCTGGAACTGGTGAGCAGCCCTCTGATGTCCACACCAACCTGTCATGGTAGGTCGACTGAACATGAGCTGCAGGCCATCAATGAGGCCCAAAAACTCTAGAAATGTTCTTTTTCATTTTTCTGCAGATGACAACATTATTGGAAGCGATTCCGACGCTGATCCACAAGATGACGACGCTTTTGAAGCCAGAACTGCACATTCTTTGACTCTGAGAAAAAAGGAAAGGCTGCAAAACAGCTCTGATTTTTTTGAGAGCAACAACAGTAACCAGAACGGAATAGAGGAGAAAACAGAGCACTGCATGCTGGATGACAGATACCCTATGGACTTTGGTTATTCTGCAAACCAAAGGAGTAAAATCAAAGATGGCATCTTGCCTGGGATGTTGCGATCTCAGCCATCGACCCTCATTGACGATTGCTGTCAAACTTTTGACATTTCTGGTGTTTACCACCACCCGTCTTGTAGAGTGGAGGCACCCGTTTTGGTCCAGCCAGCACTGCTGCCAATGAAGCCTTCGTTGTTTTCCACAGTCGACGTGGAGCCTCGAATTTCTTCTTTGCCTAGAATAAGTGACTTTGAAAATAGAGGTTTCTCTCATTGTAGGATTCCCAGTTCAGCTCCGTTTCACCTCCCACAGCACAATCTGGCCTCTCAGGTATGTTTCAGAAAGTACATTACATTCTTTTATTTCACCAATTTGACTCATTTATTTAATAGACGGTATTTTAAGATGTTTTTGTCCGACTAACACTCATTAAAACGGACATCTTAAGGTTTAATTCGGACCTAAATGTCAGCCAATGCAACTACCCATCACAAAGCAAATATCAGCCAACTTTGAGACGTTCACCAACGAAGGTACCACGATAATCAGCAAGGAAACCTCTGAGGTGAAGACCGGATCACAGTTAATAGATCACTTAGATATTTTCCTTGCATTTCTATGGGTAAATAGAGATACATGGCTGTAAGAAGGAAAATAACTCCTAACTGAAAATTTTAGAAGAGATTTTTATTCATTAAATTATCTTTAATCTTATCTGTCAGTGTCAGTAGAGTGGCAAAGGTGTTAAATGTGATTATTACTTGATGAAATCCATTGCTTTCACCCCTGTTGACCTATAACATAAAAGGCTAATTTGTTTTTGTTGGAGTAACTCGGAGTAGTTTGGTACATATGTCAGTATCTTACCTGCAGCAGACAGAGGTCCAGGTGATCTTAGACAATAGAACACATGAGGATTCCCACGGGCTAGTTAAGCTAACAGCTAATGAGGACGCGGCCTACATAGGAGTTATTTTACAAGCTATAAAAATGCTCCGATGATTTTGAGTGAGAGCTATGAAGAGTGCATGAGTTTTGTTGTTGCTAGCAGTGTCACGAGCTGTTCTGTCGCGCATTTTTCAATTTGATCTCATACTTCGACTCTTTTGTTGTTTTGTGTTTGGACCAGAGAGCGTGTGTGATGACAGTTAGCCTCTGTGTATAAAGTAACACACAATGATGCAAGTGTTTAGCAGGGAAAATGGTGACGTGGCCATGCACTTTTGCCTGAACTGCAGTGAAATGTTGTATATTAGCTTGTGAACATGCCTTAATCTGAGTGGCACTGCAAGTTTGTCATGTGGCTTCGAGCAAAAAGACCTGCTGCAGACTAGAAAAAGTGCTGCCGTTTCTATGTGCGAGTGTGTGTCAGGGTCAGGGAGTGTGAGGCGGCCAAGACTGTGGTCAAATGACAGCTTTTCTCTCTCTACTACTGTTGAGTTCTAAGTTAGCCGGCCCTCTGGTGGCACCTTGTGGCGATTGCCAAGAAAATTCTTGGAATTTACAGATATTTGCTGTACTGCCACAACCAGGAAAAAATGATTCTGACCACTCATAACATCTCCACACAAGCCTGAGTAAAAGAAAACAGCGGCTTTAACAGATTTACATAACCTGCATGGAGTTAAGAAGGTGTATTAACAAGTTTACTTTTCCAAACAGGGAGCATCACTATCACCTTTAGGAGGGATGGTCCCATATCCATACCCCTACACAGCACCGCCAGCTGAGATTGCTCCGGCTTTTCCATCCCGCTCCACCACCCCGTCTCACTCAAGAATCCATCGTCACGTTGTCGCTCAACCCTGGCTTAGATTCAGTCCATATCAGATCCCTTCTTTCTCTTTTTGCCAAAATCTGCTAACCAACCAGCTGCCTGCTAGGTCACCTTCACAACTCGAGCTGTCCAAATCTGGAAGCAGAGACTTGAGTGTCACTTGCAGTTATGAACCGAGGACTTTGCTAAGGACCTGTCCGCCCAAAACCAGGGGCTCTTTTGATGATGTCCTGTACCGCTCTAAAGTTATGAAGTTGCACTTGAAAAGCACTTAAAATAAATATTCTCTGAAGATAACTGGATTGGTTCCCTTGTTATTTGAATTAACCTTCATGATTGAATCTTCTATTTCACAGACTGTGTCAAGATGCTATCACTTTTAAAGATGCAACAGAGATCTAAACTCAGTTTAATATTATTTAGTCTTATTTAAAATTATTATTTAGTTAGTGTTAGGACATTTTTCTATCATCATTCTATTTTTTTAAATAGCTTAAAAACGGATGAGTTTTTGCCTAGTTCAAGCACAGCCTGCCATCATCAGATGATTGCATGCTTATTTCTGCAAAAATGATCAGGACATTCCTTAATTTTATGCGGCTGGTGAGATGTGTTCAGACTATAGAATTCCATGCAAAAAAAATTGAAAAGGTTAGCGTTAAGGTTATTTCCTTCATCTGTGTTAACGCACAGAATGAAGTTCCTTTGGAGGATGTAGACTGTTTAAGACTGATCAGACCAGTGCGTGGATGCAGTGTTTACCTCCTAAGAGTTTAAATGGCTTTGGAAAGAAGATTCCATTGTCCAGCCCGGATCAGAATATGTCTAGGAGGTGAACCTAATCTTTTAAGTTGATTTATAGCAATAATCTGTCCATTTATTGGTGGACACTTTTGGACACTTTTTGACTAGGTCAGGTAAGGTTTTCCATTCTGCAATGGCGTTGATATATATTTTTTTAAATTATGGTCCGCCGTTGCCTTGCAGCAAGAAGGTCCTGGTTTCGCTTCCCAGCCTGGGATCTTTCTGCATGGAGTTTGCATGTTCTCCCTGTGCATGCGTGGGTTCTCTCCGAGTGCTCCAGCTTCCTCCCACGGTCCAAAAACATGACTGTTAGGTTCATTGGTCTCTTTAAATCGCCCTTAGGTGTGTGTGTGTGTGTGTGTGTGTGTGTGTGTGCGTGCGTGCGTGCGTGCGTGCGTGTGTGTGTGTGTGTGTGTGTGTGTGTGTGTGTGTGCACTTGTCTTTATGGGTTTGTGTGGACCCACCCCTTACGGGAGACCAACATTGTGTGGACATTCACCATTGTGTGGACATTTACCCGGTCCACACAACCAAAATCCTAGAGGAAGCTTCCTTTGTCCCACCTAGAGTTAAACATATTTTTTGCACCATTCTGGCTATAGTGGAAGTCAGAGTCCACACAAACAACTCAGAAAAAGTAGTCCACAAAAACCCATAAAAACACGTGTGTGTGTGTGTGTGTGTGTGTGTGTGTGTGTGTGTGTGTGTGTGTGTGTGTGTGTGTGTGTGTGTGTGTGTGTGTGTGTGTGTGTCTGTTGCCCTGCGATGGACTGGCAGTCTGTCCAGAGTGTACCCCTCTTGCATGCCCGGAGACAGCTGGAGATAGCAACCAGCTCCCCCAGGACCCTGCGAGGATAAGCGGGTGAAGAAAATGGAGAGATGGATGGTCCGATCCCACTTCAAAAATCTGAATGATCTCTTTAAGGCAGACCTAATTGTTGTAATTGTAAATAATTCAGTCTTAAACGTGTGGTTTACTCGTTTATTCTAGACATTTGCAGCGTTCTCTGGGGTAAATCAATGCCTTATGAGTCATTAAATACAAACAAGACACTATGATGCTCCTGGTCTGAGATGCAGAAGTTTGCTGGTGCAGAGGTGGGCTGAAAACAACAGGATTGCTCATTATTACTAACAATATGCACACACCTCGCTTCTGATTGGCTAACTGAACACATTCAGTCATGTTGCAAAGTTCACTATCACTAACACACTCTCCACTCCCTCTCCTTGCAGTGAAAATTTTATAAAAAGCCCTCCTGTAGGCGGGCGTGAGCCAAGATGGGCGAGGTCATGAATGCAAATTCACAGTGTGACATCACAATGTGAGGATTTTCAGATCCTAGCATTTCACTACTTATTTTCTATCAGTCTAATGCAGAAGATAAGTGTAGGACACTGTTTTCAGGTTCAGCTTTCAAGAAAAACTCAGAGTGACCAATTAAAATCAGAAATAATCATTAAAAATGTTTTTTTTCAGTCAACCACACCTTAAACAGTGTGGCAAGGCATACTCAAACGGATCTAGAATATAAAACATACACGGTATTGTAAGTCCTGTCTGAGTAAAATACTGTAATCAACATTGCTGAAAGAAATACTTTCATTTAGGAGACATTTCAGCATAAAATGCATTAAATAGACAAATTTTGAGAACTAGCTCAAATTTTTTTTATGAAAGGACAAAAACAATGAAATGAGAAGCATAATTTTTTTCTCTCTGCAGCAAGAAATATTTCCAGTGGGCAAAAAACCTCCTTTATTTTATAAAATAGGTCAGAATCAACAAAATAAATAAGTAATTAAATACATAAATAAATAAATACCTGCAGAATAAAAAGAGTTTGGTGAAAAGTTTTTATAGGGTCGTAATTATAGCTGTTTTAGTCAGATGTCCTTGTTTTAGTGGTTGTTAAAGAGCTATTCTAAAAAGAAAAAGGTGATGAAAATGAAAGCAATTGTTTTATAGTGATCCATTCTTCTGAAGTATGTTTATTCTGAAGGTATACTTGTTTTTTTTTTACAAACACAAGTCAACACACCTGCTGTAATCAGTCTTCTAGAAAAACAGATGCAGGAGAGGTCACATATGTCGTCTTTCTTGATGTTAAAATAAGGCAACAGATCTGAGATTTGAGTCTAATATGAGAATACATTGTGAATTTCTGTCAATAGAGATGATTACTGAAATGTAGAACTGGTAACATTTTTGGTTAAAACCACCCATCAAATCCTAACCGACCTTGACCTGTCTACAGCACGTCAACCCCAGACCTTAAATATAGGCTGAGAGAAACATGAATTAGGTCTGATTTTCCATTGCAGGTGTCTCAGGAGTCTGAGTGGACGCAAGCCATCCTATGCATCACCGAGTCAGTGTGGTTTTAATGTGTGCTCTTCAGTAATATGTGGTGTTCAGTTGGCCTTTATGGGTTCAGAACAGACTTGCTCCCCCAGCTGATTAAATCCTTCCAAGTTCCAAATTTTGCATTGATTGAATCAAGTGAATGTTTATAAGCTTCTGCTATATCCTGTCCCTTGGCAGGTGGCAGTGTAATGAGATAATCGATGGTAATCACTTTGAATTTAAGTGGTTGAAACTGTTTGTTGATGTTTGAAAAAAAAGCTAACAGAAGATTTAAAATAAAGGGTGTCCCCTATAGGACTAACGCAAATGTTTGAATCGACGGACTAAAATAAACAAATGAGTTAAAAATGTAAATAAGAATTCAACAGCGATGTTTCCTGGCAAAAAAAAAAAAAATAATTTGAAATTTCTAAAACATTAAGGCACCATCCATCCATTTTCGTCCACTTATCCAGAGTTGGTTCACGGGGGCAGTAGCCTATGCCCAGACATCCCTCTCCCCAGCCACTTGGGCCAGCTCCTCCGGGGGAATCCGAAGGCGTTCCCTGGCCAGCTGAGAGACATAGTCCCTCCAGCATGTCCTGGGTCTTCCTTTAGATCTCCTCCTTGTTGGATGTGCCCGGAAAATTTCTACAGGGAGGCGTCCAGGAGGCATCCTATGATGCCCAAGCCACCTCAACTGACTCCACTTGATGTGGAAGAGCAGCGGATCTACTCCGAGCCCCTCCAAGATTACTGAGCTTCTCACCCTATCTCTAAGGGAGAGCCCAGCCACTCTGCGGACTCAAGACCATTAATGTGGCATTAAAACACCTCCCGTAAGTAAAGCTTAGCAGGAGTTCTTAAAGTAATACTTTTCAGGGATTCATTGGTGCAACACAGCTGGTAGGTATAGTTCTATGCTGGAAGAAGACTCAATGTATTTTAATGTATTTTCAATTGTTAAAAACATGTCTACACAATCAGCTTAAAGAACTGACATTTTATGTCGCATTCAACATAAATAGTTTATGCTAGGTTAAGCCTGTGCTAAAGCAAGATCTTAAAGCTAATCTGTCTTCTAGGGAGAAGAATCCCCCCCCCCCCCCCCCCAAAAAAAAAACGAACAGCAGTTTTATGAAAGCAGTTATGAACTGATAATTTTATGTAAATGATGTGGTTTTAGAAGAAAACAAAGTGACACATTTAGGTTTGTGTAAACAGGAGACACATTGAATGTGTTTTGTTACATCTGAACTAAATTAAATGCACTTCAAGCATGCAATTTAATGCATTAACTCTTTAATTTACAACCAAAACTGAAACCTGAGGCTTGTGAATTGAAACTGCAGGCATCTGTCTCCATCTAGTGGTTAAGAGTTGTGACTTTTATTAAGAGAATTGATAAGTTGATTCTTCTTCATAGTTTGTTTTAGCTGTGGAAATTAATGCGTTGTATAAAAGGAGTTGTCCTGTTTTGTTGTGACATATGTATAACTAAATATATATACATATATTTTTTAACAACAGCTAAACGGGATGTCTTTATCACAGTGCCTCTTTTCAGCAAAAAATAGATTAGCAGCAACATTTATAGATGTCTGTATATAAATGGATGTGAATAAACAACACGGGCTTTAAATTGCACGTGCACCTGCATGTTTAACGACCAGCTCCTGCAAACCCCGCCCACAAGACGTCTGTGCCATTTGATTGGATCACCTCACGCAGAACAATCCTAGATCTAAATGAAATAGATGTTTTCAATAGAAAATGTAATTCTATGTAAAGTTTATTACAAAGATCTGTTTCACAATAAATAAATAAATAAATAGATAGATAAATAAATCTAAATCAAAATTAAAACATGATCTAAAGCCAAAAAAGACAAGAGAATAAAGAAAAAAATGAATACAGATAATTGAAAATAAATACAAATAATTAAAAACAAATGATTAGTGGAAAAACAACAAAAAAGATTTAAGTAAGGCAAAATAAAAAGAAGTAAGCAAAATCAGGAAATGATTTCAGTTAAAAAAGTACTACTTTTTGTTACATTTTAACTAATAAAATCCGTAACATTAATTTATTTTGTTTTCCAACATCGTGTTTAGAATGCACCCCACAAATTAAACTGCCATACATTCCAAAACCAAATACACTTTTATTTGTCTTCATTGAAGACGGGGGTGTTTTCAATATAGAGTCACTTGCTTACATTACAGTCATTTTTTACAAACAATTAACTTGAATACAATTAAAAATGAACTATGACAAATGTCCGTAAAACATCACAAAAAGCATGTTTCGTTTGCATTTTGAACCTTACCTGAAAGTGTAAATAATTTAAGTAAACACACACACACACGCGCGCGCGCGCGCAGGCACGCACGTGTTTAAATTAATTATAATATAACATATAGTTGTTGTTGTTTTTCTGAAATGATCATCCCGGTAACTGTTTGTATATTTTAAATTAATTTCCTCCAGCGTGGTGTCTTTTCTACTGTAACTAGTTCTATACCGGAAGTCCCAGTCGTAGGTCATCGCCCAGGAGTAACCTCCTAACGAATCACCACATCACCCCACTCTCAGCTGTTAGGCTGTCGGTCGGAGCTCCGTGACCTCATCATGGTGTGATTTTTTTCTTTTTGTTTTATTTCATCATCTCTGCACACAGACATGTCCGACAGACACGGTTAATTCACTAATTTGTTTGACTTAACTATCAGGATAACCTGTCGGTTTATCTCCACCGGTAAGTTGGAAACCTGGATGTTTAGCCAGCACCGGTAGGACGTACATGACGCCCATGCTGCAGTACAGTACACCGGTCTGGCGGTTTACTGTCACATTATTATGGCATTAGCTCCTGCCGGTAAGCTAGCTGTATTAGCGTAGTTGCCTTTGCATATCCTTAGCGGCTGTACGGTAAATCGGTGGGAGCTAGCTTTGACAGGTAACGTCAAGTCGGCTAAAGTTGTGTACTGATGTTGTTCTGGGGATCGGTTTTGGCCGCTGAGCTAATGTAGCCGCTGCCGTTGTTACCGTCCCTGTGGGGGTGTTCACCTGTGCGGCGTGTCTGGTTGCAGTGCTTGTTTTTCTGGTCGCGCGAGCAGTTATCAATAGCTAAGGTGTGCCTTTACCTGAGAGGCTTCCCTTTTTCACGCAGAAGAAGAAAAGTTTGCGGTTGCATCTGCAAGTAGTTGACAGTTGTGATCTAGAAATGTAGCTTTTTATTGCCGTTGCTCACTAGTAAGTCAGATGTGCAGGTAAAACCCAACAGTCTGCTAATTTTACACCATTACCGTAAAGTGTATTGTGTTTGCATTAGATAAACAAGTAACTTGTCACGGATCAATTTCATTTATTGATTTTTAACATATACGTTTTCCCTTTAATTTTGTAATGAATGTATTAAACATTTCACCATCATCCGTGAATGGACGACGATGACCTCTTGATGCTTTTCCAGGAGTTTTGTAGCTCAGTTTTGGATCCAAATGTTGCAATATCACTTGCATTATCATTCAAACTTAAGTTTATGCAACCCAGTTTTGCAATTAGACAAACAGCATCATGTTCCAGGTCTGTGATTTGAACTCTGGTCCTTCTTTATAACTACTGCTGTTGCTTTGCTCCTTTATCAGTGTTGGCAGCCTGTTCATGTGGCCCAGCCATGGCGCAGCAGGACGGCGCTCCTAGGATGAATCCCACCATTGGCACTTTGCAGTCTCACTTCCTCGTGGGATCCATATCGGAGGAGAACTCGGAGGATGAAAACCAGGGGAAGGCAGACATGCCGCAGGAGGACAAGGACATCCGCTCACTGTCACCTTCTTCTGGGAGCTCTGACAGCACGACCGACGGAGGTTTTGATCACATCGATGGGCCCATTAACAATCTGAGGTTAGAGTCCAAACCTGAAGCTGTTTTGTTCAGTCATAAAGCTTTCTAATTGCAGCATTATCAAGATAATCTAAAATTAGATTTGTTCGTGTAAAGCAGGGGTGTCAAAGTCAAATTCACACTGGGCCGAAATGAAAATCTGGGACGAAGTCGCGGGCCAAACTTAATATTTTTTGAAAAAGTGATGGCAAATTTGCACATTTTCTTCATCAACATTTATGCAATTTTGCACCTTTTAATTTGGAAACAAACTTATTTCTGTATTAACACTGAATGTGGAATAACCAAATTACACACGAGCAAGTCAGTTTGAAATAAAAGGCATCAGTGGTATTCATTACTTGTGGTATATTCAGCATTTTTAAAATCTATTCAGGATTTATGTTTTCTTGTTTATTCATTTTTCTTATTTTTTATTCTCCTTTTTTCTCCTGTAATAAGTGTCATCGCTGCTGTGACGTCTAGCTTTCCCCACTGAGGAACAATAAAGGGATTTTCTATTCTATTCATCTATCTGCAGCCTTTCCACTTCCTGTTTACTGTAGGTTAAATCTTTGCTCACGGGCCAACAATAAAACGAAAATATCATTTTATCTTAAATGAAAATACTGTATCTCACCTGTTAACTTTCATGTTTTGAGCAGAAAAAGAGCATAAAACCAACATATTTAAAGCTCCGTTTGCTCCACTGGTTTACTGTGATGCTCACCTGTTCCAGCCAGATACCTGCGTCATGGGACTGATCTGAGCTGAGGAGGAGACTCCTGTTGTTTTGTTCATCTTCATCATAATAATAACAACATTAGATGACAACAGGTGCTCACATAGGTTTGTTCTGATGAACATGTCTGAGCAGCTTGACCACGTTGTTGTGTGTCGGGGAGAAAAAATAAAAACGACAGCAGCCACAGAGTCATGCTGGTTTGAGCATGTCGCTGCTCGCTGAAGTTATATCAGCTCTGTCTGGAAGTCAGTTGGACAACTTTCTCTTTCAGTCGTGAACACATTACTGAGCGGCTAGAATCTCCATTTCTGGGCTTCAACGTCGGCAAATAGCTGAGCTGCAGACACCGGCAGCAGATGCTGGAAAAAACTCAAAGGGGCGGTAGGGGTGTTGGGGGTTTGGGGGTGGGCTTCTGCTCCATGCTAACGCCGCAAAGCATCATCGGAGTTGTAGTCTTTGCGGTAAAATCGGCCAGCGGGTCAGTTTTAATATATTTTTGATATTTATCTCGCGGGCCACATAAAAATGCTCTGCGCACGGGCGTTGTGTCTGACACACGTGGTGTAAAGCAACGGTCAGAGGGATCAGGGAGCATGCTCTTCAGCTCTTATTTTTACAGTTCATCTGAGAAAGGCAGTTTCCCAGGAGTTAAGGATTTTTCTGTTTACTGAGACCTGTGAGGTATTCCAAAGGAGCAGGCCAACATTCCAGAGTGTTGGTTTTAGGGAAGTTGTGAAATCTTTACAGACAGAAACCTTTCACCCAGCAGGTAAAAGGACATATTCATCACTTATGGGACATTATTAAACGATGCAGCAGTCTGTGGTCTCTCTGTGCGTCAAACTTGCACTAGGCTTCCTGACATGCTGAGATTTGTCACATCCAGAGGTGGAGGCACTTCTGAAAAACTCCACACCAACTCTGGGTGTCTGCGTTTGTGTTCCAGATGCTTTCTCGTTTTAGTTCAATTAAACGTATACATATTTTCTATGATTGTGTATGATGTAGTGTAGAGGAACAGTTTAAAGCACTTAGGGTTTGTGGTTCCAGCTCAAACAGCTTCAGTTTCTAGGAAGTGGGAGGTGAATTTGCAAAAGACTGGAGGGCATTTTAGATTCTAGAAATACTGGATGGGACACCCAAGGCCAGATTGGAATCGGTGTGTTTGCAACTAAGTTAGTTGCAATCTTTTTGTATTGTGACATTCATTCCTGTCATTATGCAACTATTTCAGTATCGGGCCCTAGAAGCCAGCCAGACAAACGGGCTCAGACTCTGCCATGCCCACCAGCTGGTAGATAAACTTCTTACGTGTGCTACTACATTACCTCAAAGCTATTATTTCAGTGGAGTCTGATTAATGGAAATGCTCGCTTATTCTATCTTTTTGGGGCTAGAGGGGTATATCAGGCCGAAATGCTCGCTTATTCTATCTTTTTGGGGCTAGAGGGGTATATCAGGCCGATTTTCACCTGGTTTTCAGATATATAGTGATTTTCCTCTTTAGTAAGCTAAAAATCTAGAAGAACCGTAGGAATAAAAAAAGATTTTGCTCTGCAGGTCAGTCTAACCACGCTTCCATTGGCCCGTTTCGATCTGGCCGTTCACAGTGCCGTAGGGAGACGTTGAGCGGGCTTAGCACCAGAGCTGTGATGGGGAAAAACTACAAAGATGGAATGGAGTTGGTTTGAAATGTCTTTGGCATCAACTCAAACCACCAAATAGTTCCTGAGCACAGGCACAGCTGCAGCTCACTGCTCCACACAGGGATGGGTCAAATGAGGAGATGAATTTCATCCGTGTATGATGACTAATGGGACTTTAACTTTAACTTTGGACAATTTAGATTTGGGGTTTTCTTTGAAATATTAAGTTCTTTATATAGAAAAATGATGATTTTGCCTCTTCAAAGATGTATGGCGGACTGCCCCGTTGAGTGATTTTCATAGTAATGAAGACGTTACGTTGCTCTGATTGGTCCAAGCACCTGTCCAATTGTGTGAAGAGACCGTTTGAAAGACAACCATAGATTCCACCTCATGACAAAGCTCTGTCGATGGATCATGGCCAGACTATATATTCACATATATAGGATGGCTTGGCCGGCTACATCTTTAGCAGAGCCAATTTAAAGTCAGGCAGGGCCGAGGGCAGCCTGTATAATGTATATTTACATTTCTGAAAAAGAATCTACTTAATAAATGCTTAAAACTATGAACTGAGAGTTTTGTATTTACCTGTTTTGTATATTTGATACTTGGTATTTTTATCAATTTGTTTGGTTAACTTTGGTTAAATTTGTGATTTAATTCTGAGCAGGACACAAAATGAAGATTAAAGAATTGGTTAGTGTGTTAAAAAACGGATTCAGGTTCAGAAATGTGTTTCTGCTGTTGTCAGAGAGATTTTAACATGCCTAGAGATCAGCTGACCACAACCTCTACTTATCGTTATCAGCAATAGAAAAATCCATGTCGGTCCATCTCAACTACCTTTCCTCAGTAGTTTTAAAAGTTTTGCTTGTTTTTTTTTTTTCTGTACACAAACAAACAAATAACATATTAAGTAGTTAAACCCTGTCCTGCTGGAGTGGCAGCCTTCTCATTGATTTAAGGTGATATCAGTGTGGTTATTGTCTGTAAACTTGAACTTACGTGAGCTACTGCTCAGGATAGTTGGCTTTCTGCAGTTTAATGAAAAGCTTTTATCAGTTCTTTTTTCTTTCCAAAGCTAGAGGTCTGACGCTACTTTGTTATTTTTTTCAAACAGGCCAAGCATGTCAGGGCTGCACCTGGTGAAACAAGGGAGAGATCGCAGGCGGGTTGATCTCCAGAGAGACTTCACTGTTGCATCACCTGCGGAATTCGTCACTCGCTTTGGTGGCAACAAGGTCATCGAAAAGGTAACAGAGGAGCAGAACATTTTTCTCACTCAACGACATTATCGAAGCAAATCAACATTACAAATTCAATTATGTTTTATATCCAGGTTCTTATTGCCAACAACGGCATCGCAGCTGTTAAGTGCATGCGCTCCATCCGCCGCTGGGCCTACGAGATGTTCCGCAATGAAAGAGCAATCCGTTTTGTCGTCATGGTGACCCCAGAAGACCTGAAGGCTAACGCAGGTGAGCCTAAACTACCTGGAATGATCTGATCTCCGGCTTGTGGAAGCAGGCTGTTTTATAAATAAATGTTTCATGTTTTACAGAATACATCAAGATGGCAGACCATTATGTGCCTGTGCCCGGAGGAACTAACAACAACAACTACGCCAACGTGGAGCTCATTCTAGACATCGCCAAGCGCATACCTGTTCAGGTACAGATTAATTTTTGCACATTTCAGCTTTTACAAAATCATTTTTAAAAATGTGCTTGTATTTTGCAGGCTGTGTGGGCTGGATGGGGTCATGCCTCAGAGAATCCCAAACTCCCAGAACTCCTTCACAAGCATGGCATTGCTTTTATGGGTAAATGAGTATTTTCATCTTTTTTTTTTCTGTTTTTCCTCTAGTTTAGTTAAAAGTACTTAATAGATTTTGTTTAACTGCCTTCTTAGGTCCTCCAAGTCAGGCTATGTGGGCACTTGGTGACAAAATTGCTTCCTCCATCGTTGCTCAGACAGCGGGTATTCCAACTCTACCTTGGAGCGGGGCAGGTAGAGCCAACTTCCTTGAGTTTGTTAATATCTCATTTAACTGATGACAAACATGTATTCTTTGGGGCGGGGGTTCAGGCTTGACCATTGACTGGACAGAAAATAACCAGAAGAAGAAAATCATCAATGTCCCTCAGGAGTTGTATGAGCGAGGCTGTATCCAGGATGCAGAGGATGGCCTCAAAGTAAGTGCATCGGTGAAATGAGAAGTCACGTTGCCACTTGACTATTCATGTGCACTTTTCTGGAAACTCTTGTGTTTCCACTTCCAGGCGGCAGAAAAGATTGGCTATCCGGTGATGTTGAAGGCCTCAGAAGGTGGTGGAGGAAAAGGAATCCGTAAAGTGAACTGTGCTGATGACTTTCCTAATCTGTTCCGACAGGTGAGAGCACATTTGTGTTCCCAGATTTTATGGCAGCTGTATTGTTTGTGTTTTCTCGCGATCCTAAGAATTGTTCACTCCTCTGTGGTGGTTTAGGTCCAGACCGAAGTTCCAGGATCGCCCATTTTCGTCATGCAGTTAGCCAAGCATGCTCGTCACTTGGAAGTGCAGATTCTGGCTGATCAATATGGAAATGCCATTTCACTGTTTGGTAGGGACTGCTCTGTGCAGCGACGTCACCAGAAGATTATAGAGGAGGCTCCTGCTACCATCGCTACTTCTGATGTGTTTGAGGACATGGAAAAGGTAAAGCTGGTGTAGTTTGGACTTATTTAAATAAGAAACAGGAACAGGTTTTATTACAGTTCTCTCTCTTCAGTGTGCTGTTAAGCTGGCTAAGATGGTTGGATACGTCAGTGCGGGCACCGTGGAGTATCTCTACAGCCAGGATGGCAGCTTCTACTTCCTGGAGCTCAACCCCCGCCTGCAGGTGGAGCACCCCTGTACTGAAATGGTGGCTGACGTCAACTTGCCTGCTGCTCAGCTGCAGGTCAGTCTGCTCATAGAGCCACCCTCTGCTACAGATACAGCTCATGCAGTGTTTGAGTCAGTGCATGCTTGGCTGATGGGGCCCCTGTCTCCTTGGCAACCGACCACAAAAGAGGGTGACACGCAGACTTTGTGATAGGTCCAGCGGTTGTAGCAGCATTGGGTCACGTGTTTGGGATTGTGTGTAAAGAGGTCAGAGACGGTAGAGCGAAAAGGCTGGGAAAGCCTCCGATTCAGTCTGATTGGGTGTTGGTGTAGGAGTGACTCACTCAGTGGATGAGGTGATGTTTTCCATAACAGTAAAAGGCCATTTGTGTTTGTGCTCAAATATAATGTTGATACAGTTTATATGCACATTCTTGGAAAGGCAAATTAGTATTTTCAAATCAGATACGTTCATTCTGTTGTTGTGCTGTTTTTATAACAATTATATTCTGTTTTTAAGAACATTATTTACCAAACTTCTACCATAATATCTTATTTTTTTTTAGATTGCGATGGGTATCCCTCTTCATCGGATCAAAGACATCCGGATGCTTTATGGAGTCCAGCCCTGGGGAGACTGTCCCATCGACTTTGAGAGTTTGTCAAACACCCCCTGTCCTCGAGGCCACGTCATAGCTGCACGCATCACCAGTGAAAACCCTGATGAGGTATGATTGTACAGAAAATATTTGCTGTATAAGTTTACTCAGATACTGTAGTGTTCTCACTTCTTAAGAACACTCGTCATCAGTGCCTCTGGAGTTTACCCCTCTCTAAATGTCAATTAAAGTCTATTTCCGGAGTATTTCTCTTATTCAATGACATCATCTAGTGCAGGGGTGTGTCCAGGGAGTGGCCTGGGGTAGCGCATGCCATCCATGGAATCTGACTGGCCACCCCAAGTGCCACCACACTAATTTACCTTTGAACAGGCTTTTCATTGTCCACAAAAGTCTTGGGGGTAAAACAAAAAAAGCTTAACCATTGGTGCCACCCATGCACAAAGCTGTGCCTCACCTGGGCCACCCCATTTTAAAAGATCTGGACACACCACTGATCTAGTGGCTGACAAGCATATCACACAAATAATCTCTGGGTCCGTTTTTTTAAGATGGCGACTTCATGGTTTTTATTTATAAATGTGCTTCTGTAGCTGACAAACAGCTAAAACACTTTGTTTTACGAGTTTTATTCTCATATCATTTTATGTTTTCACATATTTATATTTTAGAGACTTTCTTGTCCATGAAAAGTTAATCAACTCTGCATCAGCCGAGGTACTTCCTTATAAGCGGTAGTTTTACGCTATTGGTCAGTTCTGGTCGGTGCTCAGTGTCCTATTGCACGGAGCTCTGCGGAGCAGGGGGCGTGCTTAGCAAAAAAAATAAAAAAAAGAAAGATGTAATGCTTACATGATAGCTCTGTACATGAAAAGATTATCACTTTTACGAATTTCTGAAAAATCATACATAATTTCTGAAAGGGGAAAACTCCGGAACGATACTTGAAGCGTGATTTGATTAAACACATCAGATGATATTGCATGTGGGTGTAATTGCAGGGTTTCAAGCCAAGCTCTGGAACGGTGCAGGAGCTGAATTTCCGTAGCAACAAGAACGTGTGGGGCTACTTCAGCGTCGCCGCAGCAGGTGGTCTGCACGAGTTCGCCGACTCCCAGTTTGGACACTGTTTCTCCTGGGGAGAGAATCGTGAGGAAGCTATCTCGTGAGTCAACTTGAATTCATATCACATCTCTGTGTCATTCACATATCATTAATAACTATTAAAGTACTAAATAGTCACACCTTGAATTATGCTTAAAGGCAGAGTAGAATGACTTGGAAAAAGCCATTCAAGCGAGCTACAGTTTGGAAATTAACCAAACCTCCTTTCTTCAGGCTCCTCCCTAGATTCACAGAATCTGATGGTTACAGAAAATGATATGACTTAATTTTGTGGCACACAAGTGCACATACGACACAGGTCAGGGGAGGACCAGCTGCAGTTCAGGTCAAAATTTCCAGAGCCTGAGCCCAACCTCCTACCCTTTCATTCTCCTTTTGATAATACACATGCTCTTGCATACGTTACACAGACCGCTCTGCCTGCTGCTTTCACAGACAACAGGTCCGTCACATCAACCTTTCCCTACAAGAAAAGAACTAGACTCTAAAGAGAAAATGTAAGAACAACTCCTTAAATCAAATTTGTGTTTTGATTTAAGGATCAAATCCAAGCCAATAGCGTGTGATTTGTGCTTAAAGAGGGTGATGAGAAATGGAGTGGAGAGACAGTCAAAGGAGCAATTTGTCCGATGAGTTATGATCCAGTCTAGTGTGTCTGTTTAGGGGAGCACTTCACAAGAAAGTGGTGAATGCTAAAGTGCAAGTCCCTGTACTATGGATTAGGGCATTCGTCCTTAAACCGCTTGCAACTGGTTCAAAATGCAGCAGCCCGCCTTTTAACAGGTACAAGGAAGCATGATGACATCACTCCAGTGCTTGCTTCCCTTCACTGGCTGCCAGTGCATTACAGGATTCAATTTAAATTGTTGCTTTTTGTTTATAAATCACTTTATGGCCTGGCCCCTCCTTATATAGATGATTTATTGTCACCCTACAATCCCACCATGAATTTGCGGTCGGGCTCACAGTTTTTATTATCAGTTCCAAAGGCTCGCCTAAAGACGAGAGGAGATAGGGCGTTTTCAGTGGCCGGTCCTACACTCTGGAACAGTCTTCCTCTGCAGATCAGGACCTCACAATGTCTGGATGTTTTTAAGTCTTTGCTTAAAACTCTTTTATTCAACCTGGCTTTCATGTAGGATGATTTTATTTTGTCATTGTCATTCTTTGTCATTTTTATTGATTTTATAATTGTGTGATGTAATGTTGTTTTTATCCTAACTTGCTGATTTTTATGGTTTTTAGTTATACTTGTTTGCGATTTTATCTTCTATGTTGTACAGCACTTTGGGTTGCGGAAGCAATAATAAGTGTGCTTTAGAAATAAATGTGACCTTGACCTTGACCTTAGTCAGACTTGAGAGGAATGAGAAATTATGTAGATTTGTGTTTTGGCCGCTGTTTACTCTAGCTCATTATCTAAAGATTTTCCAGATTTTATTCATCATATAGAGCTTGATCAAAAAAAAAGGGAAAAAATTTGAACTAGAATACATTTTGTGACTCTTATATGTTTGTCAAAATAAGTCTGATCTAAATGTAAGACATAAAGCAACAGGTGATCTTAGAAAGTATCAGAGTACTTGATTTTTTAATACTTTTACCAGTGTATGTGTAAACTCTGTAAATTAACTTTCCTTTGGCTTTTTTCCCCCCAGAAACATGGTGGTTGCTCTGAAGGAGCTGTCTATCAGAGGAGACTTCAGAACCACAGTGGAGTACCTCATTAAGCTACTGGAGACTGAAAGTTTTCAGCAAAATGTCATCGACACAGGCTGGCTGGACAGGCTCATTTCAGAGAAGATGCAGGTAAGCAGCTTCAGCTAAAACACGCTGGCAGCAAATATTTGACATAATCCCCTGAAACTAATGTGCTCCAGGTTTGTGATAACGTGTACTTAACTTTAACGTCTTGGCCTCACACATTTTGTTCATATAGTCTTGATGAGATAAGGGTTCTGGCTCAACATAAAGAGTGTTTTTTGTTTTTTTTTTTGCATGCAGGCAGAGCGTCCTGATACCATGCTAGGAATAGTGAGTGGTGCTCTGCATGTGGCAGATGTCAATCTGAGAAACAGCGTGTCCAACTTTCTGCATTCTCTTGAAAGGTAAGAGGATCATTTCTCCAACACTAATAGTAAAAAAAAAAAAAAAATCTAAGTTTAAAAACAGTTTATTTTTATTTTTTGCAGTCAAATATTTGTCCCCTTTTTAACATCAACCAGTGTTGTGTTTCATATCCTTAGAAAATCTGATTAGTCGTATTAAAGGGGACATATTGTCCATCTATCCCTGCCACGCGGGTCTCTTCTGCATCTTAGAGCTGCTCAATTAATAACATTTTAATCTCAATTACGATCTGGGTTTTGAACGATTATAGAAACAAAACGAGCAGATCATTTGTTCCTCCCTCTGCTTAAAACAAGACGTTTCATGAAGTCCCTTATTTGGACGTCACAGTGAGGAAAATTAGCACAGAACCACCCTTACTTTACTATGAGCCCCTTTCAGATATTGGAGCTTCTCAGCTTGTAGCAGCTTGAGCGGGAGGTGGTCAGCTCCAGTTTTTCTTCTTAAAGTGACAGAGCCCTGAATGGCTCATTCTGGAAGGTACTAAACATGCCAAGAATAAAACTGTTTGCTTTTATGTGAGAGAGATTTTGAGCATGAAGATGATTTCTGTAGAGTATAGGGATATTCTAACTTAAAAAAGTAACTATCTCCTCTACTAATTTATGAATGAAATTAATGACACAGCTTAACCTGTACCAAATGTACCAGAACCCCCTTGCAGTATTCTCCTATGAGCCTTCACTTGTTTTTAGCTCCAAGTGCTGACCAATGTGTTTCAGCCTCTTAGGTGTGAGTCATTAGGTTAACTGGAGGCTCTAGTATTCAGACTGGCAGCATTCTCTGGTGTTGGCCCTGGCACATTTCTAAACTTCAAACCAAGTTGTATGTTACTAATGAAGCCAAATAAAGACCATACAGTGGAAGCCCCAGGAGGACATCACCTCATAAAAACATTAGCCTTTCTTCTCTGAGGAACTTTGGGCTCTCTTTACTCAGTTTTCACTATGAGACCTGAGAAACCGACTGCTCATGGCCAGTCTTTGTTCCTCCAAGGCTGCCAGGAAGGCATGTTTGTAGCAGTAGCAGTAACAATGACACCTATGAATGTATGGCAGTGTAGAATCAAAGTTCTGTTGACGAAGGGATCAAAGTATGGTGACGGCATGGAATACATTATTGCACAGATCACATGACATTTCAGTGTGTGTGATGGTGAGGGGCATTTTCTCTGTCAGCAGTCTGAGTGCTGGGATATATTGGGATGAGCTCCTGGAGCCAGTGGTGATCCTACATCTCTAAGATCTGGGACCTAACTTCATCCTCTAGAGCATGCGTCACCAACTCCGGTCCTCGAGGGCTTACCACCCTGCTAGTTTTCTGTGTTTCTTGCTCTACCACACCTGGCTGGAGTAATGTAATCCTCACTTTACAGCTTTTAATTCTACACAGGCCTGTGAGTTACTCATTAATTTCAATCAGGTGTGTAGGAGCAAAAAAGCAACAGCTAACATGTGCAGGATGGTAGCCCTCGAGGACCGGAGTTGGTGACCCCTGCTCTAGAACGACCACCAGCGCCAGGATCTTTTCAGAGACCTTTTTTTATATAGGTTTCTATAAATAAAAATGAAATGATTCTCTGTTCTCCAGGGGCCAGGTGCTACCAGCACACACACTACTCAACACCGTGGACGTGGAGCTGATCTATGAAGGCATCAAGTATGTCCTGAAGGTGACTCGTCAGTCTCCCAACTCGTATGTGGTCATCATGAACAACTCTCTAGCAGAGGTGGATGTTCATAGACTCAGTGATGGAGGACTTCTGCTGTCCTATGATGGAAGCAGCTACACTACGTACATGAAGGAAGAGGTGGATAGGTACGATTTAACAAAACTTTACAATTTACATTGAAGGTCGACCGATGTTGGTTTACAGCCAACCAGTCATTCACCCATGCACACACACACACACACACACACACACACAATCACACGCTGGTGGTGATGAGCTACGATGTAGCCATAGCTGCCCTGGGGCACACTGACAGAGGCGAGGCTGCAGAGCACAGGCGCCATCGGTCCCTCTGACCACCACAGTGACGTCAACAGACTGACTGGGGCACAAACCTCCAGTTACGGGGCAAGCACTAAACTCCTCCGCCATTGTCACCCTATGATAGAGCTGGGCAATATGGCCTAAAATCAATATCACGATATATTGAGGATTTCACCTCGATAACGATGAATGGACGATAACTACAGGTATGTGCAGAAACAAAAGTTGTCCGCTTGATGTATTATGTTGAGTCACATTTTACTCAAGGTGGTACAACGTCTTAAAGGGACAGGAACGTTGCCAACCTACACACTTCTTTTCATTTTTTTATTATCAAATTTATTGACAATAAATGAAATGAATAATTATCGCGATAAGAGTCAGAAATTCTGATAACAATACATTTTTGATTTATTGTCCAGCCCTACCCTATGATGTTATTCAGGAACGTAAATATACATTTAAGTTAACTTCTGCAGCTGCATCGGGCAGCCCGGGGATGTGCCTGCCCTTAAATCGGCTTTACAGACGTGTATCGGTTGATGCAGATATATTCAAACTGGTAAATGTTGGTCTGATATATCAGTCAGCCGATATATTACTCTACCCCTAGTCTACATTTCTGTATTGCCCTGCATCACATGATAGTATGGGTAAGTAAAGGATGATATGCATTCAAAACTTGTTTATAATTTCCTTTCCCTAAAGGTATCGCATCACAATCGGGAACAAGACTTGTGTTTTTGAAAAGGAGAACGATCCCTCACTGCTGAGATCCCCTTCAGCAGGAAAACTCATTCAGTACACAGTAGAGGATGGCGGACATGTGTTTTCTGGCCAGTGTTACGCTGAAATAGAGGTACAGGATGCTTAAAACGTCTGTGTTGTTCACAAAAAAAAAAGAAAAGAAACATTGTTCTCTTTTAGTTGGCAGAGTTGTGTGGATGTAAAGCTTCTTCTGTGAATTTCAGGTTATGAAGATGGTGATGACCCTGACTGCAGCAGAGTCTGGTTGTATTCACTATGTGAAAAGAGCTGGAGCAGCTCTGGAGCCTGGCTGTGTCATCGCCAAGCTGCAGCTGGACGACCCAAGCAGAGTGCAACAGGTACTCCTGTGTTTGTCTGACAGATTTAACTGGGATTATAGCTCATTACGTCGTTGGAGTATGAGCAGTATTTTAATTTTAAGAATCTGTGGTTGTGGAACATGTTTCAGTCCCAGAAAAGAGCAGATTTAGACTCAGCAGCACCCATACATGGGTTGTCTGGCAGCTGACAAATAACCTGAGAGTAAACATCGATGAGGCAGGAAATCGATGCTGCCGTTGAAGATGACAGCTCTGTTGTCTGATGGATAGAGACACACATATTTGCATGTATGTGTCACCTCTCATCTGGACCAGTTTGTGAGACAGACCTGACTGCTGATGAATGGCTAACCAGGAAGCTTCCGGTTTATTCATCTTGTTCCAAGAGAAGCTTGTTCACTGGACAATAATTCCAGTCATTTTTTGTTTATTTTAGAGGTTTTTGTGTCATTTATGTATTAAACATTCTGTCCTTATTGACAAACCCATCATCCTTTACAACCATGTAAATAAAGAGAGAGGATGCTGAGAGGAAACTTGTTCTAGCTTCTCCGTCATTAAAAGTACAGTCGTTAACCAGCTATTCAAGTTGGCTTCTTCTTCCGGCTCTTGGAGAGTACAGATGCTTTTTTCCTCCTCTCCTCTCTATCTTATCCCCAAGGCTCTTTGTCTGTCTTTGGGTGGACGGCGCTTCTGCATTTTTTCTGGAAACAGGAAATTATTAAAAATGGACTTGGTCAGCTGGTCTCTCAATGCGATTGACAACATTTTCTCAACGATGAGAACGGGAGAAGGGGCTCACGGGTGCCCCTCTGGGACAGATCCAGTTGGGCATGTCATGGACTCCTGGAAACAGTGGAACATGATCTGCTTATCTCAACTCTGTAGAGGATTCTGAAGACGTCTGGATATTCGTGGTGCTGGTGTCAGGTTTCCTGCTTTTTGGCCTGGGAGGTTACCTGGCTTACCGGAAAATTAACGAGCTGTTGAGGAATATTGATTGGCTCAATCCCAGAGCTCAGGAATGGATTACACCACGCTGTGAACGCACAAACTCGTATAATTGTCGAGATGAGTCGTAAGCTTGGAACTTTGGCTGAGATTCAGGCTCTGGCACAAAAGATGGATGCGATCAAGGAGAGAGTGGACGAATACGCACGGATTGGGATTGATTAATTTACGCCATTATTGGATTTTGAGAGGTTGAGGACCAACAGAACTTTAAGACAGAGAAGAAATAATCTCTGTCTGGCCCCAAAACAATTTCTTACCTGAATCTGGTGCCCTTAGCCTGTGAGGCTGAAACAAATACTCCCCCTCAGAAGAAAAGTGGAATGCTGCCATTGCCATGGCAACTCTGTCTCCCTATCCCAGCCTGAGCTGGACTGCGACCGGTGAAGGCCGCCGAATGGTCCAGGAGTCACTATGCCCTCCAAACCCCAACGACCTCCCTCCCTTGTCCAGACTGAGGTGACGTGCGCTGCTTATCGTGGCTGCATGCACTGACGTGTGGAGAGTCCCAAACCCTACCTCCCCACCTAGTGGACACTTATGTTGTGTGATGTCTGAAGTGTGTTGCATTTCTGTCTGAGGTGTTTTTTGCATAGCAAAGCTGCCCTCCCTGTGGAGGGTAACTCTGAAGTGCCTTTTTTCCCTCCACCTGACTCAATCCTCATATATAAACCCCTCTGATCTCTATTAAGGTAGCGCGACTCGGGTTGCGAATGACCACAATCACCAATTCTTGTCATGTGTCAATGCCTATGTATGTATGTCTGATCTCAGAATTGTGTGTACTGAAACTCTAATTTCCCTCTGGGATTAATAACGCATCTTTGAATTGAATTAAGCATGAAATCCTTCTGTTTCTCCAACAGGCAGAGCTGTACACAGGAATGCTGCCGTCTGTCCAGACTGTAGCTCTGAGAGGGGAGAAACTGCACCGAGTCTTCCACAACACTCTGGATCATCTTGTTCACATCATGAATGGTTACTGCCTTCCTGAACCTTTCTACAGTGCTAAGGTAAGACTTGATGACAGCGCGCAAGCACCAATTCTACTGATGGTCAACATTTTCTGGTAACTGTGCTTCTCCAGCTGAAAGAGTGGGTAGAAAGGCTCATGAAAACAATGCGTGATCCATCTCTGCCCCTCCTGGAGCTTCAGGACATCATGACTAGCGTGTCTGGACGCATCCCCCCTGCTGTGGAGAAGGCCATCAAGAAGGAGATGGCTCAGTATGCCAGCAACATTACCTCTGTGCTGTGCCAGTTCCCCAGCCAGCAGGTGCTCCAAAAACACTCGCCACATGTCTTCAGGTTTTTCCTGGTCATCTGTGCCTATGGGATTAAATGCTTATGAGTCCACTGCTGCTGGGATTAAAATCTTATTGATTATCTCTCATTTCCAGATTGCAAACATCCTGGACAGCCATGCTGCTACTCTAAACAAAAAGTCGGAGAGAGAAGTCTTCTTCATGAACACACAAAGCATTGTTCAGCTGGTGCAGAAGTGAGTCACCTGCAGCATATTTCAACGAGATCTGTTCCCTCCTCATGTGTGATTTGTTCCAATAGCTTTACTCTTCTTTGTAAAGACCAGGCTGTGTTTGTCTTTATCAGGTATCGCAGTGGCATCCGAGGCCACATGAAGGCAGTTGTGATGGATTTGCTCAGACAGTATCTGAAAGTAGAGATCCAGTTTCAAAATGGTGAGCGGCACTCAGGAGTGCTAACGCTGACGTCGTGTAGAGCTCCTGTGTTGTTGTCGTCATAGCTGTCATGCTTCGCTCTCAACAGGACACTACGACAAGTGTGTGTTTGCTCTTCGTGAGGAAAACAAAGGAGACATGGTCAATGTCGTCAACTATATTTTCTCCCATGCGAAAGTCACAAAGAAGAACCTGCTGGTTACTATGCTGATTGTGAGTATCCCATCATCACCGATTCTGAACGAGAAGTTTATTGATTAGAAAGATTCACACTTTCATCATATTTGTATTAACTTTCAATCTATTTGGAAAAATCTGATTTAAAGTGTTTTATTGAAGCATTCCTATTATCACGCCATTTTACTCCATGACAATGCATGCATTACCCTGACCCGGACATCACACCAGATGCGTAGGCTACACATAACGTAATAAACACGTTTTCATCACAACCTCGGCGTTGCATCCTTTCCATCGGGAGTGTTTTTAGACGTTCAGTGACCATGTTCGGTGTGTTGTGTGAGAATTGCGTGATCACGTGTGATTTCACCAGTTCACGTGAGCAGGAGAAGGACTGCAGCATGTATCCCAAATCTGTTGGTTTTTTCTGTCCTCTACCAAGGAGCTTTTAAAAATAATTAATCCAACACTGAACATGACACTGCCATACATTTGCATGTTTTTTTCTTTAGTTAAGCAATCAAAAATCTGCACATCTTTTATTTTGAAATTTGTCAGATGCTCTACTGCTCTCAGTCTGAACCGCTGAGCTCGACAAGCTCTGGAAACGTAGCAGCTTTGGCGGAGCTATGAAGCACTACACTTATGGGACACACCAGAAACGGGTCCCAGCGCTCGGAGGAAAGATTATAACAGCAGATATTAGCTTTGTATGGTGCTTGGCAGAAGTTACTCACGGCTTGCGCAGCTGGTGGAAATCCAGGGTGGAACATGAACGATAGAGGGAATTAGGTATTTTGGTGCAAAGAGCAAATCATAACTAACATTACTGATTTAACCAATGCAAGGTCAAAGTTTGCTACATGGTCTAGGTAGGTTTTTCTTTCAAACTTAAATCGTGTTGCTTGTTATGTCCAGGACCAGCTCTGTGGCCGTGATCCCACTCTGACTGATGAACTCATGACCATTTTGACTGAACTCACACAGCTCAGCAAGACAACCAATGCCAAGGTGGCCCTGCGTGCTCGACAGGTCAGATTTGGTCTCTATCTGTTTTTTGTACTTGAATAAAAACAAAATCAGTGGTTGCAAGGACACACACACACACACACACACACGCACACACACACACACACACACACACACACACACACACACACACACACACACACACACACACATATATATATGAATGAGAACAAGAGCCACAAGTCGGTATGAGCCATAATGTCTATGTACCGACTCGCCACTAGATGTCACTGTATGCCTTCCACTAAACCAGAGGATCTACTGCTGCCTTTGTTTAGCAGTGAAAGATTTAAACAATAAAAAATCCACTAAATGAAAGAGCATTTACTAAACACTATTCATTCTGTAAATAAAGGTAGAACCTCCATAAAGGCAGATCCTGTCACAGGATGTGATGGGATAAGAAAAGAGGTATGGTGCTGTGTCATTTGCTGGAAGGATCACATTAATCTTACTCACACAGGTCCTGATAGCTTCCCACCTCCCCTCCTATGAGTTGCGACACAATCAGGTGGAGTCCATCTTCCTCTCTGCCATTGATATGTATGGGCACCAGTTCTGCATTGAGAACTTGCAGGTATGCAGGAAAACAAAAGAAGCATCAGTTGTGGATCAGTCTATTACACCGTGACTAATTACTTCTTCACTTTTTAGAAACTGATCCTTTCTGAGACGTCCATCTTTGATGTTCTGCCCAACTTCTTCTACCACAGTAACCAGGTAGTGAGGATGGCTGCCCTTGAGGTGAGAACAACGATGATCTTTGAGATAAGTTACAGGTGTGTCACATGTTTGACATCATCTTTTGTTTGTAGGTGTACGTTCGCAGAGCGTACATTGCCTACGAGCTGAACAGTGTGCAGCATCGCCAGCTGAAGGACAACACATGTGTAGTAGAGTTCCAATTCATGCTTCCCACTTCACATCCCAACAGGTATAACACATGGGAAGGCTTGCTAAGACCCATGTGCAACATGGTTGCCCCCTCCCCCTTCCATCCTTTACATGGAACAGTGGAGACGAAGCTTATCACTCCGTCACAATCTAAGAAAATGATATTAATCAGATACGGATCCAGATCATTCTTGATAGATTCATGTTAATCTCATTATCCATGTTCCCGTGGTTTCTCTTCATCATTCTTCGCTGTATGCCGTTGTTGTAAATGTGCTTCATGTAAAAGAATTCTCCTTAGGCTCGATGTGCTGTTGCTTTTTAAACATTCAGATTCCTTGTGCAACAGAGGACCAAGCTTTAAGTCTCAAGTCAGTCACTCTTCATTTTAAATTCCTGAAAAGATTCAAAGAGCCGTTATCAAACATGACGATCAGAGTGAAACCAGAGACAGGGACTACGTGCTCTTCATTTGAAAACGCCTTCCCTGGTATTTCCTGTCGGGTCACGTTTTGCATCCAACTTGTTTGATTTGTATGCAAATGTTTTGTTGATTTGGCTTGCTTGTGTTTATTTTTATACCCAGTTTTGATGCATTTGTCCAAAAACATCCCATCAGTGCTACTATCTTCTCATTCTATCGCATGCTTCTTCTTTGCTGTGGCTGATTCGTCTCATCAGTCTGGACTGTATGACAGCATGTGACTGTTAAAACAACCCCTCTGCTCATCTCACAATGCATGTTTTAGAAGGAGCAGTCAGAGAGAAGAATGTGCAGTTCTTTTCATTGGTGGAAATATTAAAATGATCCTGAATTCCACTTCAGACGCTGATAAATCTAAAGACACACAGACATTTCCACACACATTGCTCTGCCTTGACTGTCTTCTTCTCCTGATGCCTGACACTAACCGCGTAGTAATCGATGTTGTCTGATTGCAGAGGGAACATCCCCACTCTCAACAGGTATTGTAAATGTTCTTTCTCTTCCACAACTAATGACTGTTGACTAGCTAGCTGCATGATCCAGATCCAGTTGTAGTAATTCCTAACAGACGTGTTGGTACTAGAACTGTTGGGTGCTTTGGGAGTCTCTTATAAATAAGCCAAACTTATTTGTAGTGTGATTGAAAATCTAGAATTTGGCAGCAGCATGGCGCAGAGGTAGGTGTGTGTGTGCACGTGTGTGTGTGTGTGTGTGCGTGTGTGTGTGTGTTTAATCCTAACTAAACCACAATATTGGAGCTTTGGAGTCACTTGGGGTATAATAAGTCAAGACATGAACAATAACCAGTAAGACTATCCAGAACTGAAACATTTAACTGTCCTGCCAGGAAAATGCCAGCCCCAGTCCTGGACAGTGTAAAAGCCCTGGACAGTAAATTAAAGGGACCTAAAGCCAAGGACCATAAAGAACGTGATAGTGAATCTAAGGATGATAATGCAGAGAAGAGTAATACTTCAGATATGGAAACGATGGACAGGTTTGACACACGAAACCTATTTAGTGGTTATAGTGGGTGCTACTTTTACCGCTAAATAACTAACACCAACAAAAGGGTCTTTCTGGTGGTTTTAAGCTTTTTTGGGCACATGGAAGTACTGTTGTCCTTGTATTTCAACTAACACATTGCCAGTAAAAGAAAGTCTTAAATTGTATTACTGCTTTGGATTTTCATTTGTGAACTTCAGTTTTAATTATTTTATGTTTTGGTAACAAATCTTAGTTGTGGTTGACTGAAAAAAGTAATGATTTTTCTCTGATTATAATGGGTCACTCTGAGTTCTGCATGTGGGCTGAACGTGAAAATAATCTCCTACACCTATCTCCTGCATTAGCTTCTGATTGAAAATAGCAGAGGTGTGACCAAGTCACTGCTTTGCAAGTCACAAGTCAAGTCAAGCCTTTCCAGTCAAGTCTCGAGTCAAGTCCAAGTCCTTAACTTTGAATTTTCCAGTCATAATCAAGTCATCTGTCCAACTTCAATTTAATGGCAATGATAATAAATACTTTTCAGAAATAAAGCTTCTTAAAGCTTCATTTATTTGCTCAAACAAGCGGAAAGTTACACTGAAACTGATTATAAACAAAGTGCTGCTGCATTTAGCAGAACAAGATCAAACCCAGAACCAAGAATGATTTATGATTTTTGTCCAAGTCGTGCCACTTTTGTGCTAAAATATCAAATATGCTCAAGTCATCATCAAGTCAACAGATGCAAGTCGATTCAAGTTGCAAGTCATCTGCGTTCAAGTCCGAGTCAAGTCGTAAGTCTTTATAGATTTTATCAAGTCAAGTCAGAAGTCATTAAAATAATGACTCAAGTCTGACTCAAGTCCAAGTCATGTGACTTGAGTCCACACCTCTGGAAAATAGACGGTGAAACTCTAGGATTTGATAATACTGACAGACCTATGTCACACTGTGAATTAGCATTCATGGACTCATCGATCTTGACTCATGATGGGGAAGGGCGTTAGTTTATCGACCAGTAATCAGCAGAGAATGTCTCGGCTAGTTATATGAATTTAAGTCTTACTCATTAATATTTCACCTCTAAAAGCAATGTGACACTTCCACCTACCTTTGTTCAGTCTTCATTCTTGGGTAAAAATGTAACATTGATGTTTAATCTCCACAAATAACACAAGCTGAAACATTTTCCACCATGTTGTAGAGTTGCTAATGCTAATGGTTAGCTTCTACTACCCGAGACACGCTCTGCTCTTTCCTGGCTCCAAAAGATTGGCTTTTTCTTACCCAATCATTTCCCATTGTTTATTTATTTCTGTGGCTAATGAGTTTGAAATTTTCCACATTCAGCAAGCATCTCAGAGTGACCGATCGCGTTTCAAAAAACAAGTATTACACTGTTTCTCTGTGAATGGGTCCTTTAATGTTAAAGACTCTGATAAAGCCAACGATCAAAACTGTTGGGAGATTCTCTGTTAAGGTGATTTGGCATCAGTGATGTTGGTTTGCATATTTTTATTATTGTTCTTTGTCTATATGTTAGGATGTCATTCTCCTCTAACCTGAATCACTACGGCATGGTGCACATGGCCAGTGTGAGCGATGTCCTTCTTGACACGTCCTTTACGCCACCTTGTCAACGCATGGGAGCCATGGTCGCTTTCCGCTCCTTCCAGGAGTTCACGCGGTTAGTTTTGTAAACAAAAGCTTGATTTCATTTGTCAATAAAAAATGTAATTTTTATTGATTGTTCTTCTTTTTACAGAAACATAAATGATGTTTTGAGTTGCTTTTCGGACTCTCCTCCCCCAAGTCCAATGTTCCCAGATGGAGGCAATCCTGTCCTGTACGGTGAAGAAGACAACAAGGTGAGGAGAATCTTAATCCGTAATCTACAATCTTTTTAAGGTGGTTTTGACCTAATGTTCTGCAGGTTTTCTGAAAGTCTTTCTAAGTTTGACTGAACTTTTGGTATTTTAACCTTTACTTTGAGTCAAGTATCTGAATTTTGTTTTGTTTGTTATGAGGCCACCAATTAGAATCAGGCTTGTGTTGCTACATCACATGCAACTGACCAAATGAGATTTCTAGGCTCCATGTTAACAACAGTCTGTCACAACATGTGTTCCTCTTAGCTGAATTGCTAAAGTATACCATAATACAGTTTAATGGGCATAAACATATTTTAGCACCTACAGCATCTACTCATCATCTACTGTGACTACGCATGCTTTCATGGTCAGGTACAAGGGGTTGACTGAAAAAGTCAAACCATTAATGAAGTAACTGTTGATCAAGATCAATTAAAGAACTTTACAAGAATAAAAGAGTCCCTGGGAGGGAAACAAAAAGAAATCAGTGCCGTATAACATTTTTACGCAGTAACGTAGATATGATTGTCTTCACTTTATCCTTCAGAGTGTCCAGGAAGAGCCTGTCCACATTCTCAATGTGGCTATAAAAACTGACAGCGACATCGATGACGACGGATTGGCCGCCATCTTTAGAGAATTCACTCAGTCAAAGGTGTGAATCCAAGGCTTTAGTTGGTCTCAATCTTAGGGGAAGATTCAAAAAGATCTAACCGTGCTGAAACTTAACTTTCAGAAATCCCTGCTGTTTGAACACGGCATCCGGAGGCTGACTTTCCTCGTCGCACAGAAGGTGAGCGCTCAAACTAATATTTAGACTAAATTCTGATTTCATAATCTTCTTCCTTGCATGTCAGCAATTGGCATGATTCAAATGGTAACACATGTACCAAATCATGCATGTTTCTTTATAAAGTGATTAAAATTGAGTCAGCTTCTAAGTGAAACTGCATTTCTGTGGTAATTGGACTAATAATTTGCATTTAAAATGTAGTTTGTCTTCTTGTTTCTCTCCGTGTCTCTACCTGCATGCTTCGCTTTTGCTCGATTGTGATGGTAGGATTTCAGGAAGCAAATCAACTGTGAGGTGGACCAAAGGTTTCATGTAAGTACCAAGAAACGAGTCAGGTCTGGACAGTTATACCTTCCTTAACCAGGGAGGTTAAATTTGAATCTCCAGTCAGATGCAAAATTTATCTTATTTTGATTTCAAGTCTGCTGTGCCAGCTTGAATAAACAAAATTTAGTCTGAGTCAATTACATTTATTGTTTAATTTGTAAATGTTCTGCAATGATAAATGTAAATATAAGAAAACAGCTGAACCCCCAAGCTGGGTCAATTTTCAGAGAAGCCACTAATACCGGCGTTCGATTTAAAGAAATTCCCACATCTTTCGCCTCTTCAATCATTTAACTAAAGCCAATGATGACTGTTCATGGTGCAAAAATGAGAGCGTGTGTGTGTGTGTGTGTGTGCGTGTGTTGTTGCAGCACTCATCATGCTGGCTGTTAGTTGATAAGAGCATCTCCAATCGGTCTGGCATTATTTAGGCAAGTGGGACACCTCATCTGATAACGTCAAACAGCGCTGCCAGGCATTATTCAGAGGATCACTCGTCTCTGAGGAATGCACATATTTTATTCATCAGCCTGGCGAGTGTGCTTGTATATATAGTGTGTAAGAACAGCGGTGATAAGTTGCTGCCTTTTGTGAATTCTCTGTGATGCTTTGACAGATAAATTATAGAGTTACAAGAGTGTGCAGCGGGGGCGTGTTTTATTTTTAACTGCCAAGGAGTAATGAAAGGAAAGACTGTTTTGGAATTTATTTTTCTGTATTGACTTGTTTTTTATTTACAGAGGGAATTCCCTAAATTCTTCACATTCCGGGCCAGAGACAAGGTAGGTCCAAGTTAGCGTTGGACAATAATTCAATAACAGTATATATCGATCAATAGACATGTCGTTCAATAGGGAAAAAAAATTGATCAATAAAAACTTCAATAAAAGTTTCCTTTTTCCATTACAGCCTATTGGGTAGTTTCATACTAGAGTCATTCCTTACACCCAACCAATCAGAAAGCACGCTGCGTCTACAAGCCGCCCCGTCTCAAACTTAAACAGACTTAAACAAGATGCTGCAGCAAGGACAGGTGGAAGAAGTTGTCTCAACAAAAGGTTACAGTGCATTAACAAACAACGGTGGTTTGCAACAGATAAAAAATAAGTCTGGTAATGCAACCAACTAGTTTTAGCATAAAGCAATGGCCTGAGATGGCCAGGGCTGCACTTAAAATATATTTTTGACATTTTCTATATGCAATTTTTTTTATCGACATGTTTTATTTAATTTAATTTTATTTTTTTCCTGTATCGTCCAGCCCTAGTCCCAAGTGTCCCGTGTGTGTTTTGGATAAATATTCCAATCATCTCATTCCTGAAGATGATCCCCAAATTTGCCCGACCACTCCCCCGCTCCTTACTGAGTTTTAATCTAAATCAGTCAGTAATGGTTCCTCGTGTCCACTACGCCTGATAGTTTCTTAGCAATGGCACCACTAAAACTCATTATAGTAATGAAGTCTTTAATTATGTTCCCCATTAAAGAGAAATGACACCCATTAGCAGCGTTTCTGAGATTAAGATGGTTCAGGATTTCATTTACTTAATACAGTGTGTGGCTTGCAGGCATCTTTCTGTTTTTATACCAGCTCTGAGCCGAAGCGGTTTCCCCATTAACTCTGCTTTTAGACAGAACACTGGCCTTTACCGTGACATCAAATTGTTTCCTGATATAAACTGTGCTTACTGTGTTTTTGCTCTTTTTCATCTGTTTTTTATTTCTAAATAAAGTTTGAGGAGGACAGGATCTATCGGCATTTGGAGCCAGCATTAGCATTCCAGTTGGAGCTCAACCGCATGCGCAATTTTGCCCTGACTGCCATCCCCTGTGCCAATCACAAGATGCACCTTTACCTGGGCGCAGCCCGCGTGGAGGTGGGCACAGAGGTTACAGACTATCGCTTTTTTGTCCGAGCGATTATCCGTCACTCTGACCTGGTCACAAAGGTGAGAAAAAAGCCAGAGAAGGAACTAAAAACTGCTTTTGTGTCATTAATTAATGGTTTCACAGAGAAGTCGTTAGCCCCATTCTCAGCTCTTGCTGACAGTCATGTTGGTCTGTTTATTCAACAGGAAGCCTCTTTTGAATACCTTCACAACGAAGCAGAGCGCCTGCTGCTGGAAGCCATGGATGAACTGGAGGTGGCGTTCAACAACACAACTGTTCGGACCGACTGCAACCACATCTTCCTTAACTTTGTCCCTACAGTCATCATGGACCCATCAAAGGTCTGCAGAACCATCACACACTTTATTCTCAGTGGGCTTTAGATTTACTGACCTTTCCCTGAAAACCTCAGATTGAGGAGTCTGTACGCTCCATGGTGATGCGTTACGGAAGCCGTCTCTGGAAGCTCCGTGTCCTGCAGGCTGAACTGAAAATCAACATCCGTCTGACTCCAACGGGGAAGCAAATTCCCATCCGCCTCTTCCTCACCAATGAGTCAGGCTACTACCTTGATATCAGCCTGTACAAGGAGGTCACCGACTCCCGAACGGGACAGGTGGGGCCCAAAGACCGACAGGTGGGGCACTCATACATTTTCCATCTCATCTGCTTTTTGTCTCGGGCCACAAATCCACCATGGAACCCCCTTTTACTTGCAAGTTTAGATATTTGGAATGAAAGATTTAAAAGTTTTTTTTAAAGTCTTTATCAGTTGGACTGATCCATGTGTAGGAACCTGTGTGGTTTTTGTGGCTCGAGCAGCTTTTGTTATACTTTTGTTGTTGCAGCAGATCAGGTAAGTTTTCATCTAGTCTTGTGATCAACATCAGTTTATGCATCATGAAGACACTTCCTGAATAATATTTATTAGTAAGAAAATTCGTTTTTTTGTGTATTTGTTTCTTTGATTAGTGTCAAGCATGCATTGTTGTAGTCTTGTATTCAGATTTGTCTAAGAGTTCATTGAAAATCTTGAGTTAAACCGAATTAAATGAAGACACTAAAATAAGCCGAAGATGCTCTTGGGTGTTTCTCAGTGTCAAGGAACCTCGCCTTGATGTCTTGGTTCCACCCCGGTTGCCTAGGAGATACGTCATCAGGAACTGCCAAGGCGTGTTCCAATGTTCATGTGCTACTGAGGCGTGTGTTCTCCATTTAGCTGTTTATTCCGTTAGCCGTTTAGCTAGCTGAGCAAGGATACATGCGAGGTGCCTTGTTGGTCCAAAATTTCCCACAATACAGCGCGGTATTTTCAAAAGGATGGCAGATCAGGAGCCAGCTGCTACTTTGGGGCAAATTTCCACTTTAAACATAAGTCAACTAATTGTAGCTATTGGGCTGATATCTAAAATATGTTTTAGATCCAAAGCAGTTATCTATGGTTGGTTAGTTTATTAGTAGTTGCATCTTCGGTGGCTAGCAGGTAGTAACTCCCTTACATATTAAATTTAATCAGTATATACACAATTAAAAAGTAAAGGATTTATATTGAAACTTATACATATGCAGGTCTGTTTCATTCACCTGTTTTCTTTGACCCAGGAAGGGTGGTGTCCTCGTAAGCAAGGCGCCTTACCTGCCAAGGCAAGGTTCCTTGACACTGAGAAACACCCCTGGATTTGGATCTAGATCTGGAAGATAGTTGATCCAAATCCATCCCACATGTTCTATCATGACTTTTGACCTTTGATCTTATCTAGAAATCAGGTTTGATCCTTTTAATGTGAAATCCGAGACAGTGGAGTTGGGATGTTGGCTTTGCTATAAAACGTTGTTTTTTTTTTGTGAATGACTCAAAGTGAACATTTTAAATGTAAACAACACAATTTCACTTTGAATCTGATTTATTATTTGCATCATAACATCTCATAATCATCACAACCCCTCATGTTCATCTTTTTTGCATCCGTTTAATTCCAAACTTGTGGAAGAGGGTCATATATCTGTAAAGAGACCAAACTAATGTTGTGTTTGTTTTTAGATCATGTTCCAAGCGTATGGAGACAAGCAAGGTCCCTTACACGGGATGCTCATCAATACGCCGTATGTCACCAAGGACCTGTTACAGTCTAAACGCTTCCAGGCCCAGTCTCTGGGCACTACCTACGTCTACGACTTTCCTGAAATGTTCAGACAGGTACCATTTCATTAAAAATATCTTCTTTGAAAATTTGATTTATCTTTGAATTAAAAAAATAAAATAAAAATTTGTTTCACATTATGTGATTTTGCTTTCTTTTCTCCCTCAGTCTCTGAAAAAGCTGTGGCACTCTAGTCAGAGCTTTGCCCACTTACCCAAAGTGCCTCTTCCCTCTGAGCTGCTCACGTTCACAGAGCTGGTTCTGGATGCCCAGGGCCAGCTGGTGCAGATGAACCGACTGCCAGGTGGAAACGAAGTGAGTGTTTTAAGAGTTATTCTCGTTCTTTTTAACATCAGATTTCTGTGTTTTCCCCAATCGTGTGGTGTTTCAGTGTGTAATTCCTATTTAGCTCTGTAGGTGTCTCTGTGTTTCTTTCTCTGTGGTTTGCAGCTTTTCTTAGATAACCCATTGTTTTAATACAGGGTTAATGCTTCGTGTACTGTGTGAAGTTGAGATCATAAAGATTTCTAAGTTTTATTTCCACTAGAATAGGAATAAAGTTACCCTAAGGTTGTCATGGAGCTTGATTTTAGTCCCACCTTATTTATGTATAAAATGAATCACAAAATACTCTTTTTCTCTTGGACTATTTATCCTGCATTGAATGTGCTAAATCGCCTTCATTTTGTCTGTTCAGATTGGTATGGTGGCGTGGCGCATGACCCTGAGAACTCCAGAGTACCCAATGGGACGTGAGATCATAGTCATAAGTAATGACATCACACACAAAATAGGCTCATTTGGACCCCAGGAAGATGTGTTGTTCCTGCGAGCTTCAGAAATGGCACGAGAGAGCGGCATCCCCCGCATCTACATCGCAGCGAACAGCGGTGCCCGCATCGGCCTGGCTGAGGAGATCAGACACATGTTCCACGTGGCCTGGCAAGACCCAGCTGATCCCTACAAGGTCGGCCAGCAGACGCTCACGCTGCCAACGATTATGTGTCAATATTTGAAGAAGTTTTGAAACGGAATCTTGGCTTGTATCCATAACATGTTTTTTTTGTGATTAAGCTGCTGTAATGCTGTGTCTCTGCAGGGTTTTAAGTACCTCTACCTCACACCTCAAGATTACAAAAAGGTCTCGGCTCTAAATTCTGTACATTGTGAACATGTGGAGGATGAAGGAGAATCCAGGTATGTACATTTCTTTTTTGATTTGTACTTCACTTGCTGCTTGTGTCGAGGTCACATCTGGTTGTTGGTGGGATGCATTTGCTGTCGTGCAGGTACAAGATCACTGACATCATTGGGAAAGAGGAAGGTCTGGGTGTTGAGAATCTGAGAGGCTCTGGGATGATTGCTGGAGAGTCTTCACTGGCTTACGAGAAGATCATCACCATGAATCTGGTAAGGCGGAGGCTATGCGATCGCAGTTGTCCCGTGCTTCCAGACCTCTGATAGAATAAAGAGCAGCTACTTTGCACAGGTTTGAACCATGCTTCTCTTCTCTCATAGGTCACGTGTCGAGCCATCGGTATTGGAGCCTATCTGGTGAGGCTGGGCCAGAGAACCATCCAAGTGGACAATTCTCATATAATCCTCACAGGAGCCGGCGCACTCAACAAGGTGATTTCAAACAGAAATTTGTATTTCAGCGCGGTACAAAGACAATTTGCTTTCATTGTGTTAGTGGTAACAGGATGAGTAGCAAACGGGCTGTCTCCTAAATTCACACAAATAGTGAATTTGCATTTTAATGAGAAAATCTCTCACATTATTCATTAGCTGGCTGGTAAAACATGAGCTGTTATGGAAGGAAGGTCAAATAAAACGTGTTAGTTGAGCAGCTTTTTAACCATTTAAGAACATGATCAATTCTGTAGAAAAAACAGATAGGAGAGAAGGCCAAATTGTATTTGTGTGCTACGTTTATCTGAGGAGGAAAATTAGGCCACGACGATTCTGTGGCTCGTTCCAACTCGCTGATGGAGCAATTTTAAGGCTGGCTCCTTTCGCTTTGCTCTGTTCTACAAGGATTCCCTCAACGATGGCGGCCACGCCTCTGCCTGCCACTCAGAGTGGAATAATTGAAAGCGAACCATGAAGCTGTATTTGCATAGAAATGGAGTGACATGCCAGAGGCTGCAGTGCAGGACACCCATATCATTTGTTTTTAATCAAAATGAAAAGTTTTGCTGATATAGATTGTTTTTTTTTCTGCATACGACTGGCGTGCCTGCATGCTTAACTACTTCCTCCTGTCTTGCTTCCCACTTTCTGTCCCTGTCGGTGCATTAAGATGGCTCCATTTGAAATTCGATGACGGATCGTAACATGGCTCACCATGCAAATATCCCAGTGGGTGTGTTGTCAGGACGCCATGCACTTTATCTCCAGTTGTGGGAAATAGTGGTGGTTTCTTACAAATAACCACAATAAGGAAGCATTGATTCCTGCAGGTGAATGGCTTAGTGAGTGGATTGAACTGACCACATAGGAGAAAATAAGGGATCCTCTTTTTTTTTTCTTTTTTGCTAGTCTATCATGCAGATTCCTGGTTATTAACTGAAACTTAATAGGGAGCAGCAGGCGGCCACTCAGAGATCATCATTTCATTAGCTTCTAAAAACTGCTCATTTTTTCATGGCGACTGGATAGTAACTACTGCCACAAATACCCCAGTGAGCTGTTGCTACCAGTTGGCCCCTCGTTTTCCTCCTCCCAGTCACCTCACTGCGTTCCTCCTCCAACATCTCCTCCTTCTCTCCCTGCTGTGGAATCTTAATGAAGCTGGCGATGGCCAGAGGCGCTGGGGTTTTGTGTATGTCAAGGTGACTGTAATGTTTCTTGGGGCTGCCGCTTCTCCTGACAGCTTTAGGAGAGTGCCCTAGATTTGTAGCCAGATACATAACCATTAATGGTAATAAAGAAAGTAAATGATGGCCGAAAAGGTGAGAGCCGAGGGTAGGGATTGAGCTCCACTCTTATTTTTTATGGAAGCGTGTCGGCGCCCAGCCACCTGTTCTTAGCCGCTTATGAAAATAGGGTGGGCAGGGAGTGAGGTTTTATGGGTGAGCATATGAGCGGAGGGAAGATGGAAGAATTTAGGAGGCTTCCAACTCGCCCTCGTACAGCAGTCGGCTTCACAGCGTCCGTCTGCAAGATTCAGAAAACGCCTCAACAAGTTTGATTTAAGCCAAATGAATGAAAACGAATTAGAATTTAGAATTAGAGGGTGTGCCTGCAGAGTTGGAGAGATCCCTGAGTGCTTATGACCATGGAGGACAGCGTCGTTGTTTAGTCCTCATCTGTCTCTGATCTCTGTAGGTTCAGCTACACAGCACACCTAGTTCTCAGTTCTGGTTCTATTTCAGACTTTTCAACTGCATATTCATAAAGTGTTGCACTGAATTCTGTGTTATGCTAAATGCACTGCAGAAACTGATTTTCAAGAAAGTAACAAACCCTTGTTTTAGACATTTTATCTTATGTTTAGTCTAAGGAAAAAAATGTTCTTATCTTAAAAAATAGCAACAAGAAAAGCTCATTTGCTTGGCTAGACTTCTTAAAGATCAGGTTCACTAAGAAACCATTTTTGATGTATTATCTTTAAAAATGATTGGCCAGTCTGAGTTTAACATGCAGGCATGAAAATAGTCTCCAACATTAGCTTCTGATAGAAAGTAGATGGTGAAAGTCTAGGATGTGAAAATCCTGACAGATCTACGTCACACCGTCACTTAACGTTCATGGACGTCACGACGGGGAAGGCTGTCGTTTGTTTAGCCTCCAGGAAACAGCAGAAGACGTCTCGATTAGTAGAAGCTACCTATTGCATTAGCACCTCCACCACACAGCAGAACTCCTCCAGGGTTGTGTTATATTTGGAGATTCTTTTGCTAGTTTCAAGAATTCTAGCCAAGCAGTTTTTGCTGACCCCACAGAAAGATTTTTTTTAACTCAAAACAAGAAATTTTGATAATGTTTAAGAATATTTACCTTATTTGAAGTTGTGCTGTTTCTGTAGATAAGATTGTTTTTTCATTTTAGACTAAACACAAAGTCAAATGTTCAAAAATAAGGCTTTTTCACTTAGTTGAAAATCAGCTTTTGCTGTGTTTGCAAACACATATTTGTTCTATCTAACATAGTATTTGTTTTTGTTTTTTTCTTGCTAGGTGCTGGGCAGAGAGGTGTACACCTCAAACAATCAGCTAGGTGGAATTCAGATCATGCACAACAACGGTGTGACCCACAGTACAGTGTGTGATGATTTTGAGGGCGTTTTTACTTTGTTACAGTGGTTGTCCTACATGCCCAAGGTAACACAAACATCAATAACCACTCTCTGTTGTGTTTTAAAACCCTAAAGTAATTAAGCGTGTGTGTTTTAGTGCAACTCCAGTCCAGTACCCATCCTCGACACCAAGGATTCCGTAGATCGACCCGTAGAGTTCGTGCCCACCAAAGCTCCGTATGATCCTCGCTGGATGTTGGCCGGACGTCCCAGCCAGAGTAAGTTCCTCATCTGGGTCATCGGAGAAAGTCGGCTGTTTATTTTGATGAAATTAGGACAACATGTTGCTTTGTGTGTAAACCCTGGTTCATACATATTATGTTCGAGGGCCCAAATCATGGGATGTAACAAATAATTCAGTTTTTATTAAATGAGTAGATTTAAAAACTCTTTATGGAAAAATTTTGTGAATATGCTTTGATTGCTAAACTAAAACGTGCAAAACATTTTAGCAGCTCAGAGACACGGAAGTTCTCTCACATCAGTTGGGAAAACATTTAATCAGCCTGTCAAAAAACTGAATAAAACAGTAAATGATCACAATACAAATTTCCCAAGTTGCTGCGAGACTTTGTTACTGACACACTTCCTGTTTATGATAGATTCTAATTGCTAGGAGATGTTTCCCCAATGAAGGTCTGGTTGCAGAAACGTTGTTTATATTCTCTCTGCATGTCTGAGCGTGTGGGAGCTTTGCTCTGTTAAGTCTGATTTAGTTATCCTTCTACACTCGTCCTGGGAAATGAATCAGCACAGTTTGTGGGGCTTTAAACGGTAAAATGTAGGAGTAATTAATTTAGCAAATAATTACAAATGTTCCTTTTTCTAGATTGCAGAGATAATGTTGGATGTTAATGGCTAAAATCTCATAAAATTGCTGCCTTGCTTGATTTCTGACTTTTATTTAAGGTTTTGGTCATTTTAGAAATCTTTATATTTTAGGTTTTTTGTCACACACATTATATATATATATATATATATATATATATATATATATATATATATATATATATATATATATATATATATATATATATATACATACATGCAGGCCCTTCTCAAAAAATTAGCATATTATGATAAAGTTAATTATTATAGCATATATAAAGAGTATATGAATTATCAGAGTCCCCAGACTCTGCTTCCTCACTGGAAGACGTGTCGGTGGGATTGAGGAGGTCTTTGAAGTATTCTGCCCACCGATCCACAACGTCCTGAGTAGAGGCCAGCAGCACACCGTCCCCACTATAGATTGTGTTGGTAGCGCACTGCTCCCCCCCGAGGCACCGGATGGTGGACCAGAATCTCCTCGAAGCCGTACGGAAGTCTTGCTCCATGGTCTCACCGAACTCCTCCCATGCCCGGGTTTTTGCCTTGGCGACCACCCGAGACGCGTTCTGCTTGGACTGCCAGTACCCGTCAGCTGCCTCTGGAGTCCCACAGTCCAAAAAGACCTGATAGGACTCTTTCTTCAGCTTGACAGCATCCCTACCCGCCGGTGTCCACCAGTGGGTTCGGGGGTTGCAACCACGACGGGCACCGACGATCCTACGACATCAGCTCCGGTCGGCCGCCTCAACAATGGAGGCACAGAACAGAGTCCATTCAGACTCAATGTCCCCCACCTCCCCTGAACAGTTTGGAAGTTCTGTCGGATTGAAGTTCCTTCTGATAGGAGACTCTGCCAGACGTTCCCAGCAGACCCTCGCGATTCGTTTGGGCCTGCCTGTTCTGACCGGCATCCTCCCCCACCACCTGAGCCAACTCACCACCAGGTAGTGGTCAGTTGACAGCTCCTCCCCTCTCTTCACCCGGGTGTCCAAGACATGCGGCCGCAGGTCAGACGAAACAACATCAAAGTCGATCATCGAGCTGCGGCCTAAGGTATCCTGGTGCCAAGAGCACATATGGACACCTTTATGTCTGAACATGGTGTTCATTATGGGCAATCCATGACTGGCACAGAAGTCCAATAACAAAACACCACTCGAATTCAGATCAGGGGGGCGTTCCTCCCAACGACACCTCTCCAGGTCTCACTGCCGTTGCCCACGTGAGCGTTAAAGTCCCCCAGCAGAACGAGGGAGTCACCGGAAGGAGCGCTTTCCAGCCTCCAAGGTCTCCATAAAGGGTGGGTAGTCTGAACTGTAGTTTGGTGCATAAGCACAGACCACAGTCGGAACCCGTCCCCCCACACGTAGGCAGAGGGAGGCTACCCTCTCATTCACTGGGGTAAACCCCAACATACAGGCACCAAGATGGGGGGCAACTAGTATGCCCACCCCTGCTTGGCGCCTCTCAGTGGGAGCAACTCCAGAGTGGTAGAAAATCCAACCCCTCTCAGGGAAACTGGTTCCAGAGCCAGAGCCATGCGTTGAGGTGAGTCCGACTAGTCGGAACCTCTCAACCTCACACACCAATTCAGGCTCCTTCCCCATCAGAGAGGTGACATTCCGTGTGCCAAGAGCCAGCTTCTGTAGCCGAGGATCAGACCGCCAAGGTCCCCGCCCTCGACTACCACCCATCACACACTGCACCCGACCCTTTTGGCCCCTCCCACGAGTGGTGAGCCCATGGGAAGGGGAACCCACGTTTCCTCTTCGGGCTGTGCCCAGTCGGGCTTCATGGGTGAAAGCCCGCCCACCAGGCGCTCGCCAACGTGCCCCACCTCCAGGCCTGGCTCCAGAGGGGGGCCCCCAGTGACCCACGTCCGGGCGAGGGAACACGGTTTCCATTTATATAATTCATCATAAGAGGTCTTTGGTCACTATACATTTATATATATATATATATATATATATATATATATATATATATATATATATATATATATATATATATACACACCAATGTGGACCAAACACACCTCTGACTTTTTTATACGTGACTTGCAAAATTAGAATATTGACAAAAAGTTAAGTATAACTGACTTTCTCATTTTTACCCAGACTGCTGAATGTATAAACTCTTAGTTTTCCTTTTTGTGGGCTAGTTTTAACACACTAGTTTAACAAAAGCAAAACCTTCAGAAACAGCAGAAATAAAACCTATTTCTCTGCTTGATCGTCTATATAAGGGTCTATTAATGAAAAGGTCAAATGAAACGTAAATTACAAGCTCTGGTTTTGGTTTCTCTGAGGAGAAAATGCCACCTGCTGATCAGACAGTATTTCTACTGAATCTTGGAAAAACAAAATTTCAGGTCCATGAATGCATCATTACCAAGTAGCAACAATTATTTTTCCAGTGTGTGTGAATTCACCATTGTTACGCCGTCTTACACCTTTTATTGTCCACATGGAGGTTTTAAATTCAGGAGTCATATAGTCTGTCAGGCAAAATTTAAAAAGTGTTCTAACAAATGCCGTTTCTGAGATAAATTGGTATCGGCTGAGTTTTGCGTTAGTGAGCCTGAGTTGTACAAGAGTCAGAAAGTTGGTATTGGCCCTCAGAATCCTAATCGGTGCCTATGTTTTTTGAAGGGACAAGGTATATTTATACAGTGAATGTGATTTCTCTTCATTTCATCCATTTTTACATGGAGCTGATTTAGAAAATGATGAAGACAGTCATTTTCTGTAGGGCGAGTTCTTGTTTTTACTTGTGCAATAGTTTAATACATCTCATGTAAGATAAGTTACAAGTCAGTGAGTTTATTAATGATATCGCCCCTCTGCTCCATGAAGATAATGTAGAAACTTCTAATTTTTCTCTCCTAATTATCGTTTGCTTCCTCAGCAGTTGTTAAAAGTCACTTCCCAAGTGTGTGTGTGTGTGTGTGTGTGTGTGTGTGTGTGTGTGTGTGTGTGTGTGTGTGTGTGTGTGTGTGTGTGTGTGTGTGTGTGTGTGTGTGTGTGTGTGTGTGTGTGTGTGTGTGTGTGTGTGTGCGTGCGCGTGTGCGCGTGTGTGCGTGTATGTGTGTGTGTGTTTGGAAATAGCAGATTTATCATTTCAACTTGATCTACCACAAGTTAATAGTTGAGCTAATTCATTAAATCTTGCCAAGATGCCAACATTTAGGTTTTAGCAGGATGCTGTTACAGGTGAGGTCAGCACCAAAAGTTGGTCCGGTATGTTCGACACGGTGGGCCAGGACTGCACAGGTTCCACGTCGGTGTAATTGCAGCTTAGGCGGGCAGAGAGATCCGAGTTCTGCGTGGGAAGTCAGTGAACATCTCTGCTGGAGATGGGGGGGGGAGGCTTAATTGAACGGTAACCTCAAAGACTAGGGGGTGTTTCTCAGGGTGTGCAAGCAGAAAGAGAGCTGAGCAAGGCCGCCTATACAATCATCCATCATGTTGCTGCCAAGATTACAGATCTAGGAGGGGGAGAAAAAAATAAGGCGATACTAAACGTAAAGGAAAGTCAGGAATTTTAGGAATAGCACAGAAAGAGAGATGATTATTTTAAAAGTGGGTTTAGTTTAGGCTTTAGGACTAAAATCTTCCTGCACTGGCTTATTGTTCTATCCTCTCTGGTTGTGAAGCTCCGAAGGGTTCCTGGCAGAGTGGCTTCTTTGATCTGGGCTCGTTTATGGAGATCATGCAGCCTTGGGCTCAGAGTGTGGTGGTTGGCCGAGCCAGGTACGCTCCAAATAAAGCAGAAAACATAAAACATCCAAGTGTCTTTAGGAAGAATTCCCTGATGACTTTCTCTTTCTTTACAGACTTGGTGGGATTCCTACTGGTGTTGTTGCTGTGGAGACCAGGTCAGTGGAGCTGTCGATCCCAGCTGACCCAGCTAATTTAGACTCTGAGGCAAAGGTAAGGGCTGCTCGGCATGACGGTATGAGGCTGTTTCCACTAGCGGAAGCTCTAGGTAACTTTATCGGACCTTTGCGGCATGTGTTTGTCTCCATTTCACCAGGACATCCCAAAAGCAACATTTTTGATCCATTCCAAATCGGCGTCCGCTGCCTCCGCCCACTGCTTCAAAATTTCCTCGCAGTATTTCCCATCTTTCCTTCTTGAGAACGATTGGGGCGGAGTCACATAACTACACAGTCACGTGACTCCGCCCCATCCAGTTTTTAACACAGCTTCTTAAAAGATCTTAAAAATCAGCAACCTGCACGCACATTTTCATTTTTATCGCAAAACTAACATGCTGACGTGATCAAAGATCGGTAATGGACATGCAGTTTGGCATTGTTAAATTTCCCGTACCTCGCCCACCTCTACAACAGTACCTGAACTAGGGTATGATAGCCCGATAGTCTCTGGGCGAGACTTGTGGTTCACTCATGCTGGTTGGTTGTCATTCTCAAGAAAACAACATCACCAGAAAGCCCCAAATAATGCTTTGTGATCTCAGAGTGTCATAAAAACTGGCACTTCTTCTGGTCATTGAATGCCACATTTTACATCACCCAGTTGTTCTCCCGGTGCTGTAAAGGGCGATGTAATGTGACAGAATAAAACTTTTAATGTTATTAACACTTGACGCTTTTTGGTGCCATCGCCCTCTGCAGAAGCAGTGGTGATGTGCTGGTGTTTTAGGACCAAACCAGGGTATCTCCCGATCACTTTCCCCCCCCTCTCAGAAATTTCCCAGAACTCCAGTAGTGGAAACGTGGCTAATTACTAAGGTACTACTGGACAGGAAGGCGTTAATGCTGTGTTGGACATTATTTAGATCATCCAGCAGGCAGGACAGGTGTGGTTCCCAGATTCTGCTTTTAAAACAGCCCAGGCCATTAAGGACCTGAACCGGGAGGGCTTACCGCTCATAGTCTTCGCCAACTGGAGAGGCTTTTCTGGAGGAATGAAAGGTATCTTTCCGTCCTTCATAATAAATTCATCAGATGAAAGCTGCGGTTGATTTAATCTGAATCGATTCTGTTCAGACATGTACGACCAGGTGTTGAAGTTTGGGGCCTACATCGTGGACGGGCTGAGGGAGTACAAGCAGCCCGTTCTGGTTTATATCCCCCCTCAGGCTGAGCTGAGGGGAGGCTCCTGGGTGGTCATAGATCCCACCATCAACCCCCGTCACATGGAGATGTACGCCGACAAGGACAGCCGGTGAGTTCAGCTGGAAAAGATCATGTTTAAAATCGCACCTTCCTTCAGCTCATATGAATACGTCATGCCTGCAGGGGAGGGGTGTTGGAGCCTGAAGGAACAGTGGAGATCAAGTTTAGGAAGAAGGATTTGGTGAAGACTATGAGAAGAATAGATCCCATCTACACAGCTTTAGCTGAAAGACTTGGTGAGTCCTGGCCTCTTTGGCTCCAGTTACGTCTTTTTGCTTTTAGGTGTCTTTTCGTCCCTGGTGGCCTTGTGGCGATTTAACTGGGGAAGCTGTACACCAGGTGGGGGCCATGTGAGCCTTCCCTGTCTGCTCTTATTTGGTGTTGATTGTGTCATCTTCACTGCACCCCCTCGGGAGGCGTGTCAATCACAGCCCCCTCTCAGATCAATCACCACCTCTGCTGTGCTCAGTATCGATTGTGGTTAGCTCCAATTCTACATTACGTTTGGCGCTTTGGGCAACACCGGTGGAACCGAGGCTCTTACTGCGAAGGGATGGAGAGCTTTCAGATTGGAATTGACAAAAATCAGCAAGGGGTTTGGAGGATCTCCTGAACAAAATGCTGCCAGACAGATTAGATTCTTTGCTTTTTTTTTCTCTCTCTCTCCAAACTTGTGTTAATGGGATAAGGGTGACGAGGAATGGAATGCTGTGTGAGGATGTGATTTTAAAGGTACACTATGCAAATTTAGCGTATGATTAAATCATTTTCTTGAGCCAGTATGTGCTGAAATTACCCTTTAACGGGTTAAAGAAACGTCATCAAGACCCCTACCGCCCTCTGGGGCCAGAATACCACATTTGCAACTTCAGAGTGGCGGGCCGCGACCTGTTAAACTTGGAAACATTTAGCTTGCATACCTAGCACTGCAGTCTGCTTCCAACATGTTTCCTGCATGGTTTAGATCGTGATTTGTTTAATTTAATGATGAATCATTCCTGTAGAAACTAATGAAGCCTGGGGAGACATTTCAGCTGTTGGATTAAGGCGTTAAAAAGATGAACGCACAGCGAGGAAATAAGTTTCACTTTTGCTTTGACCACAGATAATTAATAACGGACACTCGGGGGTGCTAAAAGCATGCAAAACTGCTCCGTGTCCCTTTAAACTGCCCCTTTTGTCCCTTTATCAGCACTGAATGAGATTGTTTTATTTAAATTTCTACAGGAACTCCAGAGCTGAGCCCCGCTGATCGAAAGGAGCTGGAGACGAAGCTTAAAGACCGCGAGGAGTTCCTGTTGCCCATTTACCACCAGGTGGCTGTGCAGTTTGCAGACCTCCATGACACCCCTGGTCGCATGCAGGAGAAGGGTGTTATCACGGTAAGAATGGGACTTTTTATTTTGCACATGGTTAGTAGAAATGTGCAGGAAGTGAATAACCTGAAAAGCCCAAAGGGGAGCATCAGTCTCACCGCTGCTGCACCTGTCTGGTGAATAATGTTTGGTGTGACCAGGCTGCGAGACTCGTCCTCATAATTATCTCCTGATGACCCTGGTCAATCACCTTAGCAACTACAGCGCAGCCTGGGGCTGGCCCCGGCTCATTCTACTTCTCAACCTCCATCTTTCACACTCAAACACACACACACACGCTCGCACGTACACTTTGCTCACATGACCAGAAGGGTGTTTCATGGTTGGATGCTAGTCAGTGTTTTATTACACATTCTCAGAGGAAGATTATTATTTGTTCTCGGCTCCGTGTTTACTTCAGTTTGCCTCCAGAAATCTCTGATCGTTGTTTCTAAAAGAACATCCTCCGGTCTTTGTTTCAGGGTGATTACTTCACTTTTATTACTTTTTCACACATTAATCATCTCAAGTTTTACACTTTTCATCAAACATTTATAAAACTGAATATAAAATCAGCATCCATCAAGCATAAGGGTAAATTACCCCTTTAGGCTGATTCTTTCTTATTTTTAGTTGCATAACAGATTAGCACATGCAGCAACTCTCCTTATTTGACCTTGAATTCGCAGTCTGGCATGTGTTAATGTGCCAACCGGTTGTCCTTTTCTTCTCTCAGGATATCCTAGAGTGGCAGACATCCCGTCAGTTCTTCTACTGGCGTCTGCGGCGTTTGCTGCTGGAGGACACGGTGCAGAGGAAGATCCAAGCAGCCAACAGCGAGCTGACAGACGGGCAGATCCAGGCTATGCTGCGCCGCTGGTTTGTGGAAGCCGAGGGAACCGTTAAGGTAACGACAGAAGCACCCGCTAAAATTCTGTCCCCGAGTCTCACAGTGACTCAGAATCAAAATGATGTTATTCCAAATGTTTCTGGCTTAGAAAATCACGAAATGCTCGTGATCGTAGATGAGGGTTGGAGCGTAGATCGGCCGGTAAATCGAGAGCTACACCTTCCGGCTCAGCTCTCTGTTCACCACGACGGACCGGTACAACTCCTGCCAAAAAATCCCCTCAAAAATATTTTTTATATGTTTTTATTCCAAATCAAAGCCCAGATTATAAAATAATTAATGATTATTATTTTGTAAGGGCCCTGACGCTGTAACAACGTATACCTAAGTATCCACATAACTCAGTGGTTATTAACAGTGTTTTATTATTATTAGGAGTGTTGGTGACAGATGTTTTATTTCTTCTGCTGCCCAGCATCAGTAAGCTTCCTGTAGCAGCTCAGGAGCCAGCGTTCCACCTGCTCTAGGTAGAAAGATGAGAGACTCGTAGAAACAGGTGAATCACATCCAGGTCAGCAGCGACACAAATAGCCTGCAGGTTGGAAAACACCTGATAAAACGGGCCAGCACCGGCTGGTTAGCTCCAAATAAACATTCTTAATAGAACACTGGATAAGAACAAACATCCCTGTGACGCGGCTCCTTCCTGACCCGGTCTGGGCTTCAGACGACCAGCTGCTTGGGCGACAGGAGCCAGCTCACGGTTTGAGATCTCTCAAGAAAAGGCCTTGTTAGCTCGTACATTACCCCAATCAGGCCTGGCTGTCTTAAGCCACAATTAATCACAGTCCTGGCACACACCGATAGCGGAGCAACACACTGTTTCTTAATTAAAAGCAAACAGATTAAAAATGATTAATAAGGGCATTAAATGTTCATGTGAACCTCAAGCAGGACTGTTCAGTAGAAGTAAGAGCCTATTAAACCCCCTCGCTCTAAAATCTCTGTTAAGCCCTCCAGCCCGGCTTTGTTTGGGATCAGAAATGCCAGAACTCATGAATACTGATTGTCCTAACAGGCCCAGTCAACAGCACTTCAAACCTTTACATTTTGTTCTTTTATATTTGTTGATTAAAGTTGTTTTGTCATGAGATCTTCATGAGACTTCATCCTCGCATCTTTTACTAAAGTTTTTTCCTCCTTTTGTTCATGAATCCTTTGAGTCTTGCTTGTTTGGTTCTTTAACACCTGTGATTCCTTCAGGCGTATCTGTGGGACAACAACGAAGAGGTGGTTGGATGGCTGGAGAGGCAACTAGCTGAAGAAGAAGGCGCCCGGTCCGTCATCGACGAGAACATCAAGTACATCCGCCGTGATCATCTCCTCAAGCAGATTCGCAGGTGATCCTCTAGAATCTGTTAAACACGGCGACGTTTAGCTCGTTTTAAACGGAAAAACAAACTACTTTTGTTTTCTTCCTTCCAGCCTTGTTCAAGCTAATCCGGAGGTTGCCATGGATTCTATCGTGCACATGACTCAGCACATCTCACCCACACAGAGAGCTGAGGTGGTGCGGATCCTGTCCACCATGGAGACGTCGGCCTCCTCCTAGATACCGTCGACCTGAGGCACAGCTCAGAACTAGAGGCTCAGCAAGCGCTGATCCTTACTGAACCCCGGACTGGGAGGGGGAGGAGCCAACACGACGGCCCCTATAGCGGCCGGACTACTGACGAATCGTTGGTGATGATTCTCACTCAGCGAGACTTTGGATGATTGGCAATTTGTGAATTTGATTTCAAGTGCAATTTTCAAAAACACGGAACTATCCTGTTACTAATATTTAACAATATGCTTATAGTGTACAAAGTTGTTCACGCCTCTATAATAATTATTAGCCTCCATGTTTTTGATGTGGAGTGTGTTTTCTAAAAGAGAAAAGGCTTTAGTCCTGATCAAATGCACCTTGGTTTGTGACATATGCTTGTTAAGATTTACAAGTGTTTTGATGACCAGCTCAAACAATGACAACACATCACCTGGGGAGTTAGCCAAAATGTAGGGGGGGGGAGTTCGCTCTAATAAATGAGAAGCACTTAGTTACTGAACAAAGACCGGGAACACTAAAGCAGATTTTGGCCAGGGAAGCCCAGCAGGGAGCAGGGGCGAGGTCCCTTTTAGACCCCGACTGTTTCACAGTTACCCTGCAGTGAGCAGTGGGCAGCCCGCCTCACAACAAAACCACAGCTGTCCCTTCTGTTCTCACCCACACACGCTGCTTAACAGGCACTTTAGGGCTTACTGTTCCCCCACGCTGCACCCAAAATCAAACCTGCACCGTGCTTTCACCGCCGCAGCTCACACAGACGTAGAAAACACACGCATGCACAGATGATTGCACACAATGAGTGAAAGAATCACTAATGGTTCCATCAACACACCACTAGGCTAGATCCGTGTTGGGCAGATGTTGCATTGCTCCTTCAATCAGCTTAATGGTTTTATTTTTATTTTTAGCCAAAGACGTAAATTAACTGTAGGTAGGATGTGTGCTTTGGAGTAAAACAGCTGCAGAGCATGTCGGATGTGAGTTGAAGTTAGTGTTATAAATTCCTGAAATCAGAGTCCTGGATTATTGGAGCAAACACATTCATTTAAAAATAGTTGATTTTTGTTGGTTTTTTAAGATCATTGCATTTTGCTAGTTGTGGGCCTTCCTTGTGTCCTTATTCATGTGCAGACTAGTTGCTTTATAAGTAACTGGTTGTTTTCTTGTGAAAACCGAGAGAAATTTACAGCAGCTCTAATAAACTTAGTTCAACGTGTGTTTGTGCGAAAACTTTCAAATCAGTGTTCCACTGGAGACAAAATAAAGTTTCCAAGAATTTCCACTAATTTAATTAGATTTTTTTTTTTTTACTTGTGTGGATGATTCATGAGAGAGATGATCACATCGCAGGAAGCCTCATTAATTTCTTCAGTCGGAACAAAGTCCATCACTCGGGAGCGGCGTCTTCTGATTACTTGAAAATGATAGTCTTTCCGTTCTTCAATCCACAGATTATTAAAGCATCAGTTTCTGTCGGGGTTCTAAACTTCAACAGTATTAAGGAGGATGAAGCAGATCAAACAAATATTGAGGGATCTAGCCCATCCTGCTTTTCTCCCCTGTCTGATTATTTTGTATCAACCCCTTGGCTCTGTCAACTCTATTACCATCCAAGCAACAAATATGTAAGACAAATTGAGTTGCATGCACCCAATACCCACCACAATTATACAAGGCCCAATAAGAAAATGAGTCATTTGGAAGTATAATTGGAAATGTGCCTTGCTTGGTCTCTCAGGTCTCCCAGAGGGTTTTTGCTCATTTGTGGTGGCATGCAAGGCTGGCTAATTCTGCTTTTAATCACCGACAAACTGCAGAATCAGGTTAGTCTTCAGCTGAAGTACAGGGGAGAGCTTAAGGAAGCTACCCAATGTTCTCGATGTGGACCCAGCCTGTGGATTTGAGGGAGGAAGAAGGTCACATCGTGATCGCCTTCAACAAATAAAAGAGAAGCCCCGGTGACTTTTCAGGCAGGAACACACGAGGATGTGGAGAAAAATCTTTCTAAAGACGAGACGGAGATGGAGGCATTAATACGGCGCAGAGACGAGACACAATCACGCATCTGAGGCACCCATAATTCCACACTCACGCGTCTCAATGACTTGACAGCACTTGAGAGACAAAGCCTGTGACCCAGTTGCAGGATTCCAATTAGCGGGGTGTATGCAACAGTTGATATGAAAAGAGAACAGGGTCTTTACAGAGCCCTAGGGCTGTCTGATTACCGCCTGAAAACACGAGTCTTGCCTGCGACAAAGAGTGGAGTGACACAGAGGGAGCGCCAGACCTCAGCTGCTCTGCCTTTCCACGCTGAGGGTTTTTTCAAGAGCTCATCTCATCTCTGCCTTGCATGCCAGCCTTTTCTTATTTTTACATTGCAGCCAGTCCTAAAGAGCAGCAAGAGCCTGGCTACGCCGAGATCATTTCCAGATCAAAGCGTCGAATAGGGAAGTAGATTTTACTGCAAATCGGAGGTGAATGGATGACCTCTGGGGTCAAAAGCCTGATCATGTACCAAGTGGACATGGACATATTATTTCTATAAATCTTGTTACATATCAGCTCATACACTCAAATTCTGACCACACCATGATTGTTTCAAAGGAAATAACCCAAATTATGCATTAATTGACATCACGTGTTTTCTTAATATCCTTAATTTAGTTTATTTCTCAGTTGCATTGAACTTTTTTTCTTTTCATCTAACTCTGTTCATTCATCAGTTAATCTAAATCTAATTTAAAAGAGTATAATTGATTTGACCAATGGAGAAAATTTTGATGCTCGCTTTACCTTAAATGTTTTTGAGCCACATGAATCTTTTCATTTACTAATAAAATTAATTAAAAATGTTAATAAAATCACAAAAATGTGTAAAAATATTGTTCTTATAGAGTGTTTTGTGTAGAATTTAGAGGGGTAAAATGAATTCTAGAGTCTTTAAACCCCCCAAGGTGCTTTTATTCATTGCACCCATCCACATCATGGTAGTGATGAGCTACAGTGTAGCCATAGGTGCCCTGGGGCGCACTGAGTGAGGCAAGTCTGTCGAAGACAGGCGCCACCAGTCCATCCAACCACCACCAGCAGGCAAGGCGGGTGAAGTCTCTTGCCCAAGGACACAACAGTGAGTGGGGCTCGAACCTGCAACCTTCCAATTACAAGGAGGGCACTTAACTCCTGTGTCATTGTCGCCCCGTGTTTAATCCATGTTGGAATAAGACCGAGACAACAAAATGTAATTTTACAAGAATATTTCTAGATGCACTGTAAAAAGCAGCCTGCTAGCATTCGGAACAATAGTGATTTGTTTTTAGCACTAATTAGTTAAAAGCTAAACTTCAGAAAACCACATCTTTGTTATTTTTGAAAGATATAAAACAGGACTAAAAGGCAATTTTCCAGAATAGTTAATAAATAATATGTCCTATTTTCTTTCCAAGGACATCAGAGTGCAGAAAAGGAAGGAAAAAAAGTCCCTCTGGGGCAGGAAGGCAGCCTGTCAAACAGATGCAGGGGGTCAAAGATTATGACACCCTGTGATCATCACCTCATAATGCACACATTTTCAGTCTGCCAGAGCTAAGCAAATATTGAAAGAACACTGGGAGAGGAGCTCATACACATGGAGGGAAAGCCTTCTGCAGATGGAATAGGGCAAACCACACATGTTGGATGTTATAGACTTCATAAAAAATATATATTTGTAATTACAGAAAATCCAAACGGCTAAAGTGCTCATATAACTTGATGTTTTCAAAAATGCAGAATAAAAATAAGGGTGACATTATTATACTGCTCTTAATCAGGTTGTCAATAAGTTTGAGATTAAACATGAGACTTTTATAGAAAATCCAATGAGGCCTAAAAGCGTGTGTGTGTGTGTGTGTGTGTGTGTGTGTGTGTGTGTGTGTGTGTGTGTGTGTGTGTGTGTGTGTGTGTGTGTGTGTGTGTGTGTGTGTGTGTGTGTGTGCTGCTGAGCAGGTGGATGGGAGCTGTATCACTCTGCCCCACCGCCCCCTCCTCCCCTCATCCTGACATTAACATTCATGGAGCCAGTGGAGTGTGGCGAGCCGCGCACATCGAACCAAACACGAGACGCAGGATGGGGGCTGGCGAAAGGGGGGTGTGGGGAAGCGTGATGATGTTGAAGGTTGCCCAGTGTGGGCTGGTGGAAAGGTCAGCAGCCATGATGCCACACCTGTGGTCATACATCACAATTATCACTGTGGGTCATTGACTGCTATAGGAATTATAGGAGCAGCGGCGGGTCCACGTGGCATGCCAAAGGAGCGGGCAAGGCCAGGTTAGCTACTGAGTCTCCGAGCAAATGTCAGTGAAAAATGCGGTTTGAGTCATACTGGCAGCAAGACTCCAGGGAAGGGAAGGCTGGCCTGGTGGTCTGTTACCACAGACCAAAGTGGAATACATCAACTCCTGGGTTGATTGCAGTTCAAGGGAATTCTCCAGAGGACTAAAGTGTCTGACTTTGGTAAGCCCCAGAAAAATTAACATCTTATAAAAAAAAAAAGAACAAAGACCAACAACTTATATCAAGAAGTTTTTTTTTTAATTTGTTACACAATAACGTCTTATGATTAAGGTAACTTCAGAATGCTTTGTCACATTCACTTGGCCCCTAGGCTGTATTTGATACCATGAAGATGATCTGTCCATTTGTTTAAATAAGGTTTGGGCTGTTTGGTTGCTTTCTGCCACATGCTCATCAGAGTAGTCTAATCACAACTGTTTTTTTTTTTTCAGTAGAAAGTGACCACCGAGTCTCTGCACATGGCTTTTTTCATAACTGATACATTAGACACAAAGGTACTTTCCACTGAGTTGGAGGGTTTGAGCGTAGAGGGTGATGTATGCGGGAGAGAGAGGGACCTTTATGAATAACCAGATTAGGGGTGGGTTCAAAAGGCCAGACCTGTGTTTTTCCTGTTACAAGTTAAAGTCCCATTCATTCATCACACACTGATGAAATTCATCTCCACATTTGACCCAACCCCGCGGGGAGCGGTGAGCTGCAGCTGTGGTCGCACTCAGGAACTATTTTGTGGTTTAACTCCCCCAATCCAACACCTTAAAGCCGAGTATCGAGCGGGGAGGCAATTGGGTCCAATTTTTAAAGTCTTTGGTATGACCCAACCGGGATTTGTACCCCGATCTCCCAGTCCCAGGGTGGATACTCTACCATAGGCCACTGAGAAGCTGCGTTTATAATATATAAATCAGGAGGAATTTAAAGGAGTTATTTTTGGAGTATAACTGTGTTAAAGTTAAAAGTGTGTATTAAACGACCCTCTCTTTGAAATGAAAGAACCCCGGACTGAGGTTCCGTCCAGATGTGAACCAGCTAGGGACCGGACCCAGCGGATCCCAGGCTGGGGCCATCTGCTCAGTTAAAGAAGCACATTTGTAAGAAAAGACTGCCTTTAAAGAACAAGTCACCCCCAAACCAACTTTATTTTGCTGATAAACTATATAAATTAGTGTCTAATCATGCTGTAGACACATGTAGTCAATAAGTTGGCACTTTAGTGCATCTTTGTTAAAATTTAAATATTCTGTAGAAAACTTAGTGTTGTGCCCTCTTCAGGTAAAAACTCTACATTTGAATTTGAATCTGCCATTGCTAATGGCTAAGATGTACCCTATAATGTTAGCTGGCACCATATAATGTCGTAATGCCGCTGTGAGCCTGTTAGTGTATTTGTTAGTGGCTTCGCCCTTTCGGTCTACCAAGCTACGCCTCCTTGTGGCACGTCTTTCATACAGGAAATAGGAGTAGGGTTAGTCTCTGGAGGGGGGTGACTTGCTCTTTAAAGGTTGAATATGGAACGCTGCCACTATAGTGACACCTAGTGTTTAGAGGTGGTAGTGCATCAACAGAACACATTTTCCAACCGTTGAGGTGTTGGTTCACTACTGACACATGAAGTGACCAGCTAGCACCATGTCCAGTGACGAATTGTACAGGGAAAGAGCTAATTTCTATGACTGAGTTAATTTTACTACAGTATTAGAACATCTTCTGGGCTCAGAATCAGCTGCTTGACTTAATAAGTCTGCCATTTTACTCAGTCCCAGTCTCTTCTTGCCAAGCAGACGTTTTACCGCAACAGTGCCCCTTGTTGGCTGGTAGATGTAAACATAAACCCAGTGTCGTGCCCCTCAAAATAAAGTTTTAGTATATTTTTTTAACTATAGCTTTTATAGGAGAAACTGTAAATTCATTCTGCACACCCCTGGATGCCCTTTATTATTACTTTTTAATTATAG